TATCGTGGAAATAATCACCAGAGTGTGGTAGGCCGCGATGGCACCATACTTAGTGTCGGTGATGACATTGGCTCTCAGATAGAGCAAGTTGAGGTTGGAGATGATCTTCAACTCGTGATCCGGATGTTCATAACACTTTAAAGTGTTCAGTTTCTGTGCAGAGACGGCAGCGACGCCAGATGGCTGCTGCAAAACGAAAGACATCTGCCATGTCCTAGAGGGACACTAATGAACACTTGTACACATTAGTCAATGGAGTGACGGGCAATATTGATGGAGAAGTTGATTTCGAGGCCCTCTCATCCCTTAACGCTCTGTTAGAGCTAGACAAAAGGTCTGTAGATACGAGGGATCATTCTACTCCCTGGTCAGGGAATTTCAGGATGTGGTGTGTAATGATCCGCCATCTACCCTACTTCCCGACAGAGGTGTTCGTCATGAGTTTAACCTAGTCCCTGGGACCAAATATTGTGCTACAAGGCAATGGCCGTTGCCTAAGGAACAGTGTGACGTCATTATAGAGTTCTTTCGTGCAAAGAAAGCAGCAGGCATGGTACGGGAGAGCAAATTTTTGCATTCGACACCGACATTTTTTGTCAGAAAGCCTAATTGTTAAGTGGCGTATTGTGCATGCCTACAATAAGCTTTACGAAGCCACTACACCGGAACAGACACATGTTCCTATAAAGGAAGTTCTCTAGTACGCTATGGTAGGATGTACCATGTTCTGCTTGGTCGATGGGAATTACTATTTGCTTATGCGAGCGAATGATATTCCGCTCACAGCGGTTAGTACTTCAAGAGGTATGTTTAAAAGTGGCTTGTCATGCCCCGAGGACTGTCTAATACCCCTACTACATTCACTTGTCTCGTGACGTAGTTGTTTCGACCTCACCGAGGATATGCACAAAGATTTTTTGATAACATTTTTGTCCATAGCCGTGCGGAAAACAAGGAAGGTCAGATGTGGAGAATCACCTAGACCATTATCGAGTAGTGCTGGGGTGCATGCGCACCAAGAAGTTGTATGAAAGTGAATCAAAATGCAGATTTGGTGCGGATGAAATCCCCTTCCTAAGGTGTTTCATTGGGAAGCGTCACCTGAGGGTGGAAACGCTAGACTTGAATCCATTGAGGATTGGCCTGTTCCGTCAAACCAAAAGGACTTGCGAAAATGGCTCGAATTACCCGATTACTTGCACAAGTATAGTGCAAATAACTCTGATATGGCGAGGCCATTAACTAACCTCTTAAAAAGGATGCGGTTTGGTGTTAGGAATCAGTCCAGGCTCAAGCTTTTCAGGATATCGAGGATAGTCTCCTTCACGTCCCAATTTTGGCTTTGCCTGACCCGAAGCGACCTTTCAGTGTCGTCTGTGAAGCGTCCGATTTTGCCATTGGCAGTGCATTATAGCAGATAGATGTCGATGGACACGAACGCATCATCGCGTATGAGTCGCACGAGATGAAAGATGCAAAAAAGCTAACTATATCATGACAAGGAGGTACTGGAGATGAAGCACACTCTTGTAAAATCCAGAGTGCGTCTGCTTGGCATAAAGCCTATTATGATCTATACAGATCATGCGTCTTACGCACTGCGACCCAGTCACCTCGACTTTTACAACGAATGTCTCGTTGGCTTTCATTCTTTGCAGAATGTAACGTCGAGGTGAAGTACAATCCAGGGAAGCAAAATGCTTTGGCTGATGCGTTGCCATGCAGGCTCGATTTTAAGCTTGCTCATGTAACGACTCTTTCGTCGTCCATCCCTGATTAAATCCATGCAGCTTATAAGTTCAAAGGCGTGCCTTTCCTTTTTCGGTGTCACGCGAACAAAATTCTGCAAAAAAATATTGTCAAACGAAATTAAGTATGGGGTGTCGCTTCCGCAGTGGAAACAAGACGATACGTGACATGGTTGCATCCATAACTTACACATTAAGACCGCCAACCCTTCCATTTTGTTTTATCCACTATGACGCGATCTTACGTCTAGCGAACGGATGGCTTGATCATCATTTTTGGTCCTTAGAACCGATCTTGGAGCCCAAAAGTTTTCGTTGTGATGGACAAACACAATGTAATACTACGAATACCTGAAGGTGTTTTAAATTTACTAATATGAATTTTATATCGTACTTGAAAGTATGTTAAGGATTTTTCCTTGTCGAAACCATTTTTTGCGCTTTTATTTTATCAGGACCTTGCCTTTTCACGACAAAGATACGAGTCCAATTCTCTAAAATGTCTAGAAATACATTTTTCAACAAGGATATAGGCATTAAACAAGATCTTAAAAATAATCACAAAAATGGTAAAATACGTATCATTTTACTTTAATTAATTACGGAAAGTAGTATTACAGCAATAAGTAATTTAACAGCAGGTATTTTATTTACAACGGCTATTCATTTTAAAAGCGTTGATCTTTTAAAAAACAAAAAGACTTTGAAAAACGAAGCATATTAATGCTATAGATAAAGCTAAAGAAACTTCAATAATGTACAGGCAGCTAAGGAAACTCTAAAAACGTAAAGGTCACACACCAGGGAAGTTGATTGGATTTAAATTGTGTTTGAGCTTTTAGATAATTTTAAGCAACTATTTCAAAAAAACAATTTATAATGTAAATTAAAATCGATTTCTAAAAAGTAAATAGTAACTTCGATATCCTCTCTCTCCCAAAGGACGCGCATATCTTTGTCGCCAGGACACACGCTTTTTAAAACCAGTCAGGAACACATTCATGATCCACTTTTACCACTTTATCTTTTGCTTCAACGAGAACGACAAGCTTGGCATAGTGCCGATGAATTCTTACGAGTGACCTGCTTGTAAACTTCTTAGCCAACGTTCCGTTGTGTCAGCAGCTGCTCTGGTACTTGGCGAGGAAACCCTGATTACAAGCTGTAGTTTAAGTTCCTGATTGACTACTGTTTACACACAATTTATAAAACACATTTATATTTGCAAACTAAGTGGACTACAACGACTTCATGGTCGTAGCGGCAAGGAAGATCGTGCTCGTGACGCTATCGATGTGCAGTTGTCGGGCCTATTTGCTGGCAGCTTCGCCATGCCTGCACTTTAATTTCTGCCCGATCTTTAAGATGACAAGAGAGAGTTTAAGTCTACAGGCGACACTACATTTGCTAATTTTTGACATCCAGAGCGTGTAACCTCGACAATGAGGCAACCCCCACCTTTCGAGGTCTTTGGTAGCGGCTGTTGTGACCCACTCGTTGGTCACTCTGCCACAAGGAAGCGACAACTTTGGGTGCAACCGACGATGTGTGCAACCGACGATGGGTGAGACGTGCTGAGCATTGTGCCATAGAGACCAAAGTCTGTGCCATAGAGAGCAAAGTTTGGCATTTTGCTGCGACGTCTTATGAATGAGTTCCGGCTAGACTTTTCTACTGTTCGATTGAACCTACCAATTCGATTTGAAGCTCTCACGATGAGACGGTTGGATTTCTTAGTGTCTATACTCTCGGACGCCTGAAGCTTTGCATGGAACTTGCACTGACATTCTTCGCCGGTACATTCTTACGCCAGTTTCATTCTCATGGTCAGATAATGATAAACAGCTGTTCCTGCTCTCACTTGCCTTTACTTTGCGTGAGCCCGGTGTGGCTCTTTATGAGTGCAAACAGCGTGTGGTCGAGCTCGTTAGGCTTTGTTGCAACCTGAAAGGCGTTTTTCAAGCTTATGCGGCGTTTGACCACAGCTACTTCTCATATATTCATTGTCTTGCGAGCCAGCACATATCGCGCGGCTTTTAAACACATCAACATCAGAAATTCAATGCCAACTTGTCGGCATTAGAATCGTGCAAATAGCCAGTCAGCATCACTTGAAGTCTTCAGAAGACACTTCCTTGCTCACATGAAAACTACTCAGACGGTCTCGCCACTTCATAATTTTGTACAGCGCGTATGTAGCTTCTGCACTAGCAGCGTCGCACCAGTCTATGAGCAAACTGTGATGTACAATCCGACGCTTATTTACTCCAGCTTATTTTCAAGCACATCAAGGATGATTAATTGCTTCGTGTTACGGGTTCCAGACTCGTGTTTACTTGTCTATAATTACTGACACATGTGAGACTATTTCAACTGACTGTGAGCGCACTGACGTACGCATGTACGTTTGCACATCGTACCAATGCGCAACATTTGGTGCGATACACGTAGTGACGCCAGTTCTCCAATCTTTGTTAGAGTAAGCAAGACTTTGTGAGAAGAAGGACCTGCAAAGGACAAGTCGCTACATGTGCGTATTCCAGTATAAACTGTTTGTTAAAACTCAATCGCGTGAACCGCATCTGCACGAGAGACCTGCATCTCCTGCTATGGTGGACACAATACACAAAGTCGAGCGCGTTATCGCGGTGAAGGTTTGTTCGAAGTATGTCACACGAGGACGATGAAATGGGAAGAACAATCGTCCATATACACGCTGCTCGATGAAGGAATATCGGATTTGGTTTGTACAGGAATATTTGAATATCCTTGATCCCTAGAGGGGTTCTCGAGTATATCGGAAGTGCCGCTTGTCATTGCAAGTACAATGAAGCTAGGCTCAGTATTTCACTAGCACGACAATAACATGCCGACAGAGCGCTACATTACATAACGTCTCTCCTCTTTGAACTTCAGCGCAGCGAGTTTTCTCGGGATCTTCACCAACTCGTCAAGAAGGTGCAGATGAGTCCAAGCCTACAGGGACAGGACATATGGCTACCCGAATTTCTTCGAAAACTCATAGCTTAACGACAACTATGGAAGAGTTTGTTGCAAAAGATAACAAATGAATGCACTGATAGGAAAAGACGCGATCAGAGATGTGTCCACCTCGCATCGTTGACCCCGAGTGTAAATGTGCTCGCTTGACTAAAACTTCTCGTGATTGGTCGAAACTGCGCGTGAGTCGTTTATTCGTTTTAAACGCAAACAAACGTTTCATTGACAACCAACCTCAGAAAAAAGGACCCAATGGAGTCGAGCAGCGACCTCCGCCGCCTGTCGTCGTCCTCTTGTTCCAGCAACCACGAGGCCCCCACTCCGTTGCTGACGCCTTCAGTACCGACGAACGTACAGGTCGCAGTGCGCTGTCGTCCTCTTAGCAGCCGTGAGAAGGCCGCAGGACGTGGCGCCGTCGTCCAATGCAAGCCCCACTCGAGCGAAGTGGCGATTGTGAAGCGCAAAACGTACACGTTTGACCGTGTGTTTGGACAGTATTCGACCCAAAAAGACGTTTTTAACGCGGTCGTGCGGCCAGCAGTGGACGAGGCGCTGGCTGGGTACAATTGTACTGTGTTTGCTTACGGTCAGACAGGCACAGGCAAGACGTACACGATGCAGGGAGATCTGACTCCAGGCAGTGAGACAGCCGGTATCATTCCGCGCAGTGTGCGGTGCATTTTTGACGCGCTGGAAGCCAACGGAGAAGAATTTAGCGTCCGTGTCTCGTTTTTGCAGCTCTACAATGAAGAGCTGAAGGATTTGTTAGATCCTGATACAGGCAAGAAGCTCCGGCTGATGGAAGATGCCAAGAAAGGAGGCATTTATTGCGTGAATTTGCTGGAGCTCACTGCAACGACAGCGAAACATGTTTATGAATTGGTCAATACTGGCGTCAAGAACCGGATCACGTCGGAGACATTGATGAACGAGAACTCGAGTCGCTCGCATAGCATCTTTACGATTCGGATCCATAGCAAGGAACATAACGCGGCGGGTGAGGATTTACTCCGCGTTGGACAGCTGAATCTGGTGGATCTTGCTGGATCCGAATGCGTAGGTCGATCGGGAGCTCGCAATGCCAGAGCGCGCGAGGCGGGCACGATCAATCAAAGTCTGCTTACGCTGGGAAGAGTTATCACAGCACTGGTTGACAACCTCCCACACGTTCCATACCGCGATAGCAAGCTTACGCGCTTGTTGCAGGAGTCTCTCGGAGGACGGGCAAAAACGACGATTATTGCAACACTCGCTCCGTGTGCAGATAGCCTGGATGAGACGCTCAGTACGCTGGAGTATGCGTTCCGTGCGAAGCACATCAAGAATAAGCCTGAACTAAACCAAAAGATGACCAAATCCGGATTGTTAAACGACTTTGAGAACGAGATTGAGACACTTCGCGCAGCCTTGCGTGCTGCTAGATTAAAAGACGGCGTGTACCTCCCGCTGGAACAATACACCGACATGCAAGAGCGACTTTCTGGCCAGGCTGTACAATTGATGGAGCTCGAGGATATACTCAAGGCAAGAAACTCGTCCTGCAAAGAGCTAGAGGAAGTTGCCGAAAAGAATGCGAGTGAGGTGGCGGCTGTTATGTTTGCAAAACAAGAGATGAGCGACAAGCTGGCGGCAACACAAGTCGAACTTGTTTCAACGAAAGAAGCGGTAGCGAAAATGTCCGATGAGCTAGAGCGCGTAAAAGTTGCGCTTAAAGCTTTCCAAGATAACGAGCAAGTTTTACTCGCAAATGGAATTATCGCTGCGAAGCTGTATGACGCAAGGGAAAAACAGGCTGCCCAGCTTTTGACAACGATAGGTACGCAAGTTTCGTGCTTCTCAGATAGTGTGTGCTAATTTTACCTGATAATGCTCTTCTTGTTGTTGTAGAGAATACACAGCGCACAGAAGAAATGAACACAGAACTTGCGATTACGTATCGTGGTACCACACAATCCCAGATCAACACTTTCTTGGAGCGACTAGCGAAACACAAGCAGACTCAAGAGAATATGTTTGATGATGTATCAAGTTCTCTGCACGAGTTGCAAACGACTCAATCGACGTACTTAAACGGACTTGTCACGAGTTTGAACGCGATGGAAGGCCTCGTTGGAGCGCACAAGTTGCAGACGATTGAATTAGTTGCTGACGATGATGCTCTACGGTTAAAACAGTGTGAAGAAGCGACGACTTCGACGAGAGAGCAGCAGAAAAGTGTGCAGAAGCAGCTCGAAAAGCTCGTCAAGATGTCCAAGTGCCACACAGCAGCTATCATTGAGAGTGTGTCAAACTCTGAATCGCGAAATGTGTCGTGCCTAGAAAATATGCAGTCGGCACTAGAAGGTTCCCGTGCAGAGTTGACCACCTTTCTGGCAGAGCAAAGCACGAAATTGCATGAGCTACAAGCAGCAATTGACACGTCGGTCGAGAAACAAGTGAAGGAGCTTGATGAAAGCAAGGCGGTGCTCACGGCTGCACTAAGAGACAGTCACGTTCGGCATCAAGAAGAGCTTTGCGGCCTTAAGGAAAATCTTGCTCAGTACATTGAAAAGTGTATTCAAAACCAGAACGAGAAGCTTAACGAGCAAACACTGCTTATTGAAGAAACCGCGAAGCATCACCAGAAACAACTCTCGTGCGTGCAGACCCTAACGGAGCAGGAAGTGAAGGGGGTCTTACAAGCGATAGATGGTCAAAGCGCGAAACACGTAAGTGAGACAGCTGAGCTCCGCGGACGCTTTTCTAAAATGCAAGATCAACTTGCAGATACGAATGCACAGCAGACGGAGCTAGTCCAGTCACACGAACGACTGCAGACGACACTGTGCAACGCAACTGGTGATCTTGCAACGAAGCACACGGGGGATGTCACCTCTTTGTCGGACAAGCACTTGCAGGTTCATACGGCAACATCGAAGAAGAGGCGAGAACAATTGGTGCAATTTGTAGGTGAACACGAAGAGCTCCGAAAACGCTTGGATGGGGAACGCAAGGCACTGGAAGAAGGGTTTCACACTCAGGTGTTAAGCACAAAAGGCAAGGTTGAGCTTATTTCAGCGCTTGGCAAGGATGTTGTTGGCGAAGCTACGGTGGCATCGAACCAGCAACTGCAAGACATGGAAGCGTACATGAAGAAACGAAAGGTGGGCACCCGCTTGATATTGCGTTTTCGCGCTGTCAACGAAGTGGTCGCTTATTTTTGCGTTGTTTTGTCCAGATCCATGCTAGATCCGGATTCACGCCAACAAAGAATGATGACCAACCGTTTCCATCCTTCAAGTCCACCAACCTTTCAGATCTGCAGTTGGATGGTAAGACCAACCCGACCAGCCGTACCAGCTCGCCAAGCAGTACTGAGCCTGGCCGCAAGCGCCAGAGGACGAACGATGGCATTCCAAGCACCTTCGATAATGACACGCGTTCAACGGAAGACTGTGCCGCCCCATGCCAACGCAACGCTTCAGTCAGCACAACGACAAGCCAAGCTACTGTTGGCATCACAGCATCGCACACTGATGAAGACACTCGATGTGCTGACACAGTATCATCCACCGAGTGTATGGATGCAAGTGGAACAAGCCTGGAAGCTCGCTCCACTGAGGCCAAATCCGTCGTCACGCCGTCCAAGCTCAAGAAAGCAGCAGTGTCTGGAATGCACAAAAAGAAGCTGCCCACAGTCACTACGATAAATCGAAGCACGAAGGTGCCAAGTGCCGGTCCAGCATCTCGCAAGACTACGACAACGTCATCCCTAACCATTCCGAAACGATACCGAATCAAGTCGCCTGTAGGTGACCCGACAACCAATTCCCGCTAGGCTATCATGGATACTTTTCTGCGTTGGGCATCATGATTACTCTTCTGCGTTGGGCATCATGGATACTTTTCTGCACCGGGCATCATGGATACTTTTCTGCATTGGGCATCATGGATACTTTTCTGCATCGGGCATCCTGGATACTTTTTTGCAGTGGATATCATGGATCCTTTTTTGCAGTGGATATCATGGATCCTTTTTTGCTGAGGGTATCATGGATACATCTCCGTTTCTGCTAAATGAGTGGCACAAGCGCTGCTGTGATTGGCAGAAAATCCAGGATCGAGTCATTTAGTCGCTCTTGATCGTCTAATCCTGCAATAGCGAGCACTAAGATGTGGAAAGACTCGGCGGACGAAGTCGCGGCGGGGGACGCAGCGCTGAAGCTACCACGAGGCAATCGACGCTACGTAACGGCTCTTCTGTGTCTCTGCGTCTCGACCATTTGCTACGCTGACCGTACGTCGCGTTTGAGGTGGAATTGCTGTTGAAACGAGGCCTAAGAATTGGCTTTGGCTTTGATACCGGAGATAGGCACCAACATGGGGATCGCGTTGCCGGCGCTCGTGGTCGATAAGAAGGAGCAGGGTGAAGTGCTGTCGGCGTTTTTCTATGGCTACATGTGCACTCAAGTATGTCAGTCTATGGACTCTGGCCATGCTGCACACAGGAGCTTCTTCTCATGTGTTTTTTATTGTGAATCTAGATCCTTGGGGGGTATTTTGCTGCGAGATGTGGCGCCAAGATTGTTTTGATCACTGGTGTTGTCGTCTGGACGCTGTTCGTACGTTCCTTTTGAAGCGGTGGACATCCGAGAAGAAGTGTTCGCCAGCCTGACCCTGGGTGCCTGTTTTATTGTAGGATCTGTCGACAGTGGTCGTGGCAAAATGCCTCACGTGTCTGTTTTTCACGAGAGCAGGGATGGGACTTGGAGAAGGCATCTTGTTCCCTTGTATGCACCAAATTGCAAGTGCATGGTACCCAATTCAGGAAAGAAGTCGTCTCGTGACACTAGTTGCAAGCGGCTCCGATCTGGGCACCATCTCGGCACTGGTCATATCACCTGCTATAATGGCAGCCAGTGGTTGGCAGCGCATTTTTGTCACTTTCGGTGTGTTCAGCTTTATCTGGGTCGTGGTATATGTGTCTGAGGGAGCAAGCCGCCCAGAAGATGATCCACGCATCACCGTGGAAGAACGCACGTTCATCCTGCGCAACCGCATCGTCAACCATGACACCACGCACCAACGTCGCGTCGAGCTAGACACCCATGCGTTAAACTGGCGTGTGCTACTAACGTCACAACCTGCGTGGGCAATCTATGTTGCGCACATGTGCTACAACTACAGTTGGTATATCTTGCTGGGCTGGATCCCACAGTACTTCAGCCAAGTGCTGAACCTTGATCTGACCAAGAAAGGCGGATTTGCCGCGGCGCTGCCCTACATGTGCGGCTACGTGGGGACTCTACTATTCGGACGACTAGGAGATGTGTTAGTCACTCGCGGCTATCGTGCACTGCATGTACGCCAAGGTATGAATGCTTTTTCGTTCCTCGGATGCGCTTTCTTTCTCTTCCTGCTGCGCTTTGCGAACTCAGCTCCCGCAGCAGTTGCCTTGCTGTGTATGACGCTGTTTACCGGTCGAGCCGCTATGGCTGGATACTGGGTCAACATGATCGATGTGGCGCCAAACCATGCCGCGCATATTATGGGCGTCTCCAATACCTTCGGAACTATCCCCGGCATCATCGGCAATATGGTCACAGGCGCAATTCTGCAAGCTACGGGTTCATGGGACCTCGTGTTTGCAGTTGCTGCTCTTGTTCTCGTTTTCGGCGCCATGTTTTTCCATTGCTGCGCCTCCGATGAATCTATTTACGCGCAGCCCCGCTGCGAGGAAGGGTACAACGGTAGCAGCACAACATCAAGTAGCTTTCGTGGTAGTCCCAGTTTCAGTCTGTCTCGTTTGTCGATCCCTGACGAAGAGGAGAGCTTGCTCGAAACCCACATATGAGCAACAGCATGATGTAGAGAGTGAAATGAGCTCAATGACGTAGTGAGATAATACATCACGTCTCGCTTTGGCGCAATCGGTATCGGCCCAATGCGATTTTCTGCAGCTGATGGCGTGAAATCTCGTCGCGTGGGCATCTCTTTTGCATCTCTACGAACAGGTCCGTGGCTGCTACCCAATTCTCGCTCTGTTCGTCGGCATAAATGCGTTGTACATAGCTTTCTGCATCGGGATGAACGCGGTAGGCCGCGGTGTCTTGCATAGTAGCGAATATTGAAGCCACGAGCTGGTACTCTTCAGCGCGATTGCACATTTGCATGACACGATTGAATACACTGACGCTAGGTGCCACACCGAACGACGTCTGCCACTCAGGAAGCATGCGAACAGCTCGCCGCCATTCGCCCAAATCTTCCAGCGAGTCTAACATCTGCATCACGACGAATACTGGTGGAACTTGGCCCGTTGCCGCGTGCCATTTGTGAAGAAGTGTTGGAGCTTCAAGTACTCGGTCTTTGTCTCGTAATGTGGTGCATTCAACGAGGTAGGCTGAAAAGCTAGATTCCGTCATAAGGTCACTCTTTAACTCAACGGCATTGTCGCCCCACCTGCGATCAATGAGTGTATCAAATACGGAGATCACACCTTCCGAGTCCTGATTTACACTGCATGCGGCTATCGCACGCTCAAACGTTGTCTTGTCCGGCTTCACTCGATCTCGCCGCATTTCATCGAGTAGGTTCATCACGCTTTCACGAACCCAAGCAGCTTTCTCACGCTGTTCATGCTCGTGATCTTGAGCTGACAGTGCCTTCACAGTACATTCATCAATTGAATGGGCACGCTCTAGGCCAGCTTTTACGACAGCACGTCCTTCTGCTACACTGTCACGTTCAACATATTTGTCATCATCCCAGCCATCTTCATTCGTATCGTACTCTGCATTTCCGTCACAAAAGATGTCTTCCTCCTCCCACTTGCTTTTATTCTTCCTCCACCACGCAGCCCGCTCTCCAGCCCTCACAAAAGCTTCCAGAGCCGTGTTGTACGAAATGACATCGAGTGACACTCCCTCCTTCAGCCGGATCACACCTAGCACTTCCAAGGCGCGGCCAGGAAGGGCAGCCTCTACACATGCCAGCAAAATGCGATTGTGGATACTTATCGACGCTCTCCCAAGCTTCTCTTCCATCTCGTTCGCAATCTCCCACGCACGAGTCACGTTTCCTACGCGAGCATATGCAAACACCAATGGCTCGTACGTCTCCACCGTGGGCGAAAATGTACCTGACATTTCAATAGCTCGAAAAAGCTCTAATGCTCCGTCCGGATTCTTTGAGTTTGCGCAGAGCTGCATAGCGCCACTAAGTATCTTGAGGGTAGGCTTGTACCCATCGGTAGTCATTAAGTAGTCCAAAAAGCGTAAGCCTACCTCGAACTGTTGCTGACTCGCACATGTCGCAAACATCAACCCAAGAGTTGTATCGTTAGGTTGGAACCCACGTTTCTTCATTGTATCAAAGAGTCTGAATGATTTGTCCACGTCACCAAGTTGACAGTAATAGTTAAACGCGTTGTTAAACACGCCAATATCCAGCGACCCAAGAGGTGCATCGTGACAAGTAGTGGATATGAACTCTCCCATCGACGCAATCAGTTCATCATCCTGCCTTTCTCTGACATTGCAGCTCTCTTCGCTTGTACTTCGAGCGGCCGGGTCGTTGTCAGCTCTACTAGATGTTTCCAAATATGTTGCAAATAACCGAAAGAGCGAGTAATACGTTGCCGCTCCTGGATCAAGTTTTCGGTCCTCAGTACACCATTCAAAAAAAGAAAGCGCTTGCATCGTGATGTCAAAACGCGTACGCCAATTTCCACACAGATCATTCTTCAAATTTGTTACGTGCGCCTTCAATATTGTGTTCATAGTCACTTCGTCGAGTTGCACATCATTCTCAACCATCTTGGTCACAATTGATTCCGTTCCGCGAACATCGCCGCACACAGCGTATGCATTGAGCAGCGCATTGTAGCTCCAAGTTGTTGGAGCGCACTCTAGCGTGGTTTTGGCGTATCTTTTCATCTTCGTAAAGACGGACACTGCGCTGGCCAATTGTCCCTGCTTCCCACAGGCACCTAGTACAGTGTTAAAGTGTGCTACACTTGCGGTTCCCGTACAAATCAGTTCATCCAGAAGCCTTAGCTTGCTCTCCAACTTAAGAGAAAGTCTCTCAATAGCTCGATCTGCAATCAACGGAGTGGTGCATAAATGCGTAATTTCCAATGCGCGCTCAAAACTCTCCCTTTGGTTCCGACGCAAGAAATACGATTGTTGTTCCCGTCGTGTCATTTGGGACCAATCTTGTTTAGCCTGAACCCAGGCTACAGGCACTGACGCTGTGTCACGCTTTGCTACCAATTTCTCCAGCTTTCTTGAATTTTGCATGTCCTCGACAATGCTAGCAGCCGAAACGCCTGTTACATCAGTTCTTGTCACAAGCGTGAGTGCATAATCGGCATGATTCCACTTACCACGTTGACGCGAAGCATCAATCAGCGCGTTTACAACTTGGTGTTTGACAGGCAGTCTTGCAGTCACGTCACATACAAAAAGCCGCTCAACGTTTCGTACGTAATCCACAGCCCCATCGACGTCACCTTCACGCAAAAGGTAGTACACCATCGTTCGGGTAGTGACGGTATCGGGAACTAAACCAAACTCATTATACGCACGATCCACTAATTTCATCATGACCTTCGACCGTCCACAATCGCGCGCATACACTCGCAACAAAGCATTGACGACTAAACTCGTCGGCTTTATACCTGCATCCAGCATTTTATCAAAATACTCTTCTGCTGTCTTGACTAGCCCGTGCCTCCTAGCACAGCAATTGACCAAAAAACCATAAATCCTCGCATCCGGATTTTCACCAGCTTCCTGCATCTTCTCCAGTACATGTCGAGCACTGCGTAAATGTCGCGCACGACTGCACGCAGCCATAGCGACCTGGAAGCTCGTCTCATTCGCGCAGCTGTAGTCCACCATCACATCCAGTAGCGTCAACACGCGCGTCAGGTTCTCATCCATCAGCGTCTTCTGCTGCTTGCAATAGTGACGCAGCATGAGGTTGTACGTGTACGGCCAGAGCACGCTCTTGTCTGGATATCGACGATGCAGCGTCTCGAGAATCCCCCACGCGCGATTGTAGTCGCTCTGCTCCAGAGTTTCCACCAATCGGCGGTTGTAAAATCTTCGTCCTCGGTCCATAGGCAGTGAGCGCTTCACGTCCTGTATAACCGCACGCAGTCGCCACGAGCGCTTTGATACGTCAAAAAGTCGGTCGAGTGCAGCGCATTGGCCGTTATTTGACGAGAGAACTGCCAAATGCCGAGATTGAATACCTTTACGTGGCAAGGAAGATGCGTCAATAGAAGCAGACACAGTGGTGTGGACGAGCCGCGTGCAGTGGCGTGGACGCAGCAGCAATCGCCGGAACGTCATGGTCCGAGGAAGGTATCGTGTTGATTGGCATGTTTAGTGGCGCAAAGGAGTGGACGATGTGTGATTGGTGGAAACGAGTCGATGATGTATTTCCAACCAATGGAAACAGATGGCCGCGCGGGCTGTGACGGTGCAGGTCGTCGCTGCTTTATGACCACTCTAAACGCTTCCTGAAATAGAGTACGTTATCAAAAGTCGCTAACTTCTTTCGCTGCGTTATTAAATCGCGTTCGATGTTGTCTGACTGGTGCAAATGCGTGAATAGACTGATGGTATTTACATCCAATCATAACGAATTACCGCCTCTGCCGTGATGGCTATCACTCGTTTTTAACCAATCCGAAACACTCGTTGGACACGACGCAGCCTTTCACCAGTTGCCATGCTCCGTCGACGTACCGGCGGCGGCGCGCAGTTCAAGCCGTTCGTGCTACCGGTAAAAACCGCGTCCGTACGCACTAACGCGCACCAAGATCTAGACGCAGATGCAGACGATAAAGAAGTGAGCAAAGCAGGTACTGGCGAGCCGCTGTCCGTCAAGCGACTTCCGTTCCTGTCGTTTCTAGTGATGGAGCCAGAGCAACGGACGCAACGCGTGCGATGTCCGTTCAAGTCTCCGTGTGGGAGTGATGGTCGCTCGCAGGAGAGTCACCACCTGCTGCATGTCAAGACGCTGGGAATGCGACGTCGCTGGGGTCCTGTTGTGTTCAAGCCAATGGCTCGCCACGATTTGCCGCCCGTGGAAGTAGAAGTGGACGCAATTGAGATGCCTGGGGAAGAGTTGCAAGTGTCATTAGTTGAAGAACCGGTTGCTGCTGCTGTAGTAGCTGACGCTCCGCCGCCGCTGGTGTTGTGGCAGAGTGAGACCGATCCAGAGCGTCAAGTGGTGGTGCCTGAAATTGTGGGCAAGTTCTTACGACCTCATCAGAGAGAAGGTGTACAGTTCATGTTTGATTGTGTGTGTCAAATCAAGGGATTTGAAGGACAAGGATGCATTTTGGCCGACGACATGGGTTTGGGCAAAACACTGCAGAGCATCGCGTTGATGTATACACTGTTGACGACAGGTATGGACATGCAGCCGACGCTGATTCGAGCAATTGTAGTGTGTCCGACGTCTCTGGTGAAGAACTGGGATGACGAGATTGTCAAGTGGTTGCATGGACGCGTAAAAACGGTGGCTCTGTATGAAGCGAAGCGTGAGACAGTGATTAAAGGTATTAGTCAGTTTATCGAGGGAAGTAAGAGACCACGACCCGGATTCTCAGCACAGGTGCTTATCGTTTCGTATGAGACGTTTCGAATGCACGCGCAGAAGTTTGCCGATACGCCTGCCTGTTGTGGGCTGCTGATTTGTGATGAAGCACATCGACTGAAGAATGCCAATTCTCAGATCAACAAAGCATTGTCTTCGCTGGCATGTCGTAGACGAGTGTTACTTTCTGGTACACCTATGCAAAATGATCTGGAAGAGTTTTTTGCGATGGTGGATTTCACGAACCCCAACATTTTAGGCACACCGAGTGAGTTTCGGAAGAGTTATTTAGGGCCGATCCTAGTTGGACGAGAACCGGATTCTACAGACCGTGAGCGAGGAGTGGCGCAGTCTTGCTCAGCGATGCTATGTGAAGTTGTTAACCAGTTTATTCTACGTCGAGGCAATATTCTGAACGCGAAACATCTGCCGCCGAAGCTAATGCAGGTAATTTGCTGCCCACTTTCACCGCTGCAGGAACAGCTCTACATGCATTTTCTGTCCTCGAGTGCATGTCGTGATATGATGAAGCGACAGAGTGTCAATGTCTTGTCATCGATTACCGCGTTGAAGAAGTTATGCAACCATCCTCTGCTGATCTTTGACGAAATGGGAAAAACCAATACGAAGCTTCCCGGATTCGGCAATTGTGCGCAATACTTCGCGGCTGCAAAAGAATCTAGAAACAGTGGAGCGGATACCGGTCGAAGTCGACGGGGAGGCTTTGGAGGACGCACATGCTATCCAGAATGGTCCGGAAAGATGCTTTTGCTTGATCGCTTAATGTCTTCGATGAGGAAGACAACGACAGACCGTATTGTAATTGTATCCAACTACACTCAGACGCTGGATGTTGTATCGACCCTCTGCCAGGAGCGTCATTTGCCGTTTGTTCGGTTGGATGGAAGCACGTCTGCTAAAAAGCGAAAGAACCTAGTCGACACGTTTAATGATCCGTCTACGAATTCATTTGCGTTTTTGCTGTCGAGTAAAGCTGGTGGGTGTGGTTTGAATTTGATTGGCGCGAATCGTTTGGTACTTTTTGATCCTGATTGGAATCCTGCGACCGATAAGCAAGCTGCAGCTCGTGTGTGGCGTGAGGGGCAGAAAAAAATGTGCTTTGTGTACCGCTTTTTGGCGACAGGGACACTTGAGGAGAAGATTTTTCAACGACAGCTTTCCAAAGAGGGTCTTCAGAACATCGTTGATGACAAAGAGGAGGTTAACTCGCTGTCATCGAAGGATCTCAAGCGACTATTCGTGTTTCGGAAAGACACCATGTCTGATACTCATGATCAGTTAAAGTGCGACCGTTGCCAGTGGCGTGATGTGGACAACGGTGGTGTCGAGGACACTCCATCTCTCGTCACGGTTGATGACAACAATGAGAGTGAGAAGGTGGCTGGAAGCGGAGCTTCATCAGAAAAAGACTTGACAAGTGATGAGGACAGTTCTAAGGATGTAGCCAAGGGCTATCATCCGCAAATTGGCATGCCGCCAGAGGAAGATTTGAATAGTTGGGGTCACCACCGTTCCTATGCTTCTGTCGACGACGAAGTGATGCAAGCGGCTCTTCAGCAAGTGCGCGATGACTTGGTGAGTTTTGCGTTCAGCTGCCGCATTGACTGGGAGTTGCTTCAGGAACACCAAGCTGAAAATGGCGAAAAGGAGATGCTGCGTGACGAGGAGCGCAAGCGCAAGCGTCTGAAAATTATCGAAGCCACGAACAAAGTGTCAGCTGAAGAGAAAAATAGGCTCAAACGCTCCAAGTCGAAGAAAAAATCGATTGTTGATGTATCGGATGGATCGGAGAGCGACTTCTCGAGTGATGGCGAGGAAGGTGACGATAACGACGAAGTCCTTGGTGAGAGTGAATCGGAGAGTGGAGATGAAGGCGCGTTTGATGGTGTATCGGGGCAAAGCTCTTCAAGGACAGAAGTCGATATTCCGTCTGTCCCGAAACCACAGCACCGGCGTTCTGTAGTGCTAGCTTCGTCTCTAGAGGTATCGTCTCACCCAGTTCCCGTCCAAGCTGTGCACTCCGAGCTGAAGAGGAAGGTGTCTTTCGCGCCAGAGGTCGACGCAAGTTCCTGGTCCCCAACGAAGTCAAAAGTATGTGAATTCTCGGATTCCGATGACGAGGATGCTTTCGTCGAAGATGCTCTAAACGACCAGCGCTCGGTGCGTAGTCAGGCCACACGTACGCTGGACGAGTGCAAAGAAAGCGAGGCTCAGTCCGCCTGGAGCTGTTCGCGGTGCACGTTGATTAACCCAGCAAGCAGTCTTAACTGCTCAAGCTGTGGCCTTCGTTATCGGCGGTCTCGTCCTCAGATAATAGACTTGGGCGACGAGAACGATGAAGATTGGTAGGAACGTAAGCTGCAACGCTTGCATCGCGCATTTCGATCCCAGTAGTGCTTTATCGTTAAGCAGTAGACATCGTTGCATTATGTACCATACCACTTTTTAATCGAGGCTATGCTTGGCAGCCGTAGTCTTGCAAGGTTTCACCTTTGGAGGCTCAAAGACTCCCAGCAGCTTTCTGGAAATTCGTCTCTGCAGATGGCGCCGCACTGCTGACTAATCGTGACAAACCTTATCGTGCGACGTCGTCAAGTGCATGCAAGCACCTGCCACGCTGTCCAGCCTCTTTCACCAATGCCACTTTTGTGCTGCCAGCTGAGGTGGAATGGTAACACTGTCCCTGTCCATCAACCAAGGCTGATGAAGCATCAGTGTATAGGACCTTGCTCCTCCCGGCAGTGCTGCTACATTCTTACAACAACTAATCAGGAGGTAGGTTGCCCGGGGTTAATCTGCTGTCACTAGCTTTCCCATCGGTGTGGTGAAGTAAAGTTGCTGGTACTTCCTGACTGTCGTGCGAGCACTTGGCGGGCAAAAAGTTTCCTTAGCAATGATCAATTCCAAGTCAGTTCAACGCTTTACTTGCGTTCCACTGCAGTCACTCGACCGTTCTCGTTGTCAGCCGTTCGGGTCCGTCTACCCGCATCGGAGACTCTCAAGCCACTTCGCTATCGTCATGTAGTCCATCAAGAACGCAAAAGCGTAGAACTGAACAAGTTTCCTATATCGCTGTGGTCTACACGTCACGCTATTTTTGCCGCCGCATTCTTTGCTGTACACAAGTTGAACACAGTCACCAGCTTGGTCGTTTAAATTGCACGACAACACGTGCTGTTCGCAGATATTTTCGTTTCGAGAAAAAGAATGTTTGTCTGTCGATTGGCAGGTTCTGACACTTCGGTACCTGTTGGTACACCACTCAGTCCTGACACCCTGACACACGATTGCTACTATCGCACACGAAATGACCCGATCCTTAGTCTAATGGTACAGACACATCGGGCTTCGAAGCGTGCTATTTGACTCTACCCTACCCTATCCACACATCGTCACCACACAGGGACTCGAACCCGCGCCACCCAACAATATATAATAACTCAGAGCTTCCAGTTATCACGACACATACAACATACTTGATCTATTTGCGTAGACCTTTATAAGTACACACACACAGTCCGCCAACGCGTTTCAATTCAATTGTATTAGCAGTTTATCACCACCCACCCCGGTAGCTTTTCTACGGGCAAGTAAGTTCGCAGCAAGCAGGCCTGCCCTACGGATTGACGATACTCTTGGCAAACGCCTCGACGTTGGCAGCCCGACTGGCAGTATCGGGCGAGTCTTCGATGATCTTGACGATCTTGGAGCCGATGACGACCCCATCCGCGAATGCACTAACCTGCACAAAGTGCTGGCGGGTGGAAAGACCAAAGCCCAGCGCCAACGGGTGCTTCACATTGGCACGAACTGCAGCAAAACATAGCGCATGTTTCCAGTTAGCCACACTGCGCTCTGCAGCCAGACAGTGCACATAGTAACTCACTTCTGCTCATGAACGCGGCCAGGTTCGGTGGCAGCTCGTTGCGAGCTCCAGTGACACCAGTGAGACTCACGCAGTACACAAATCCATGCGCCACCGAGTCAATGAGCTTCATCCGCTCGTCCGTTGTCGTAGGGGACACCAGCGGAATGTAAGCAAGTCCGTGTGTGGCTGCGGCATCGCTGAGCGCCTTGGCCTCCTCTGGCGGTAGATCTACAATGATGAACCCATCGACGCCAGCTACGATACGGAAAACAAGACAAGTACGCGATCACATCTCCACCCCTCCCCCTTCTTCTCTCTATCCTTATCTCTCTTCAAAATCCGCCACAACGTCCGTACCTTGCTTAGCATCAGGACAAATCTTGTCCTCACCGTACTGCAAGAAGTTGTTGTAGTACCCCATGAGCACGACGGGAGTCGTAAGGCCTTTCCCACGTGCCTCGCTCACCGTAGCAAGCACGTCGTGTAGTGTAATGCCCTGGTCCACACCTACCTGGTGGGCACGCTGAATGGTCGGGCCATCAGCTTGCGGGTCCGAGTACGGGATACCCACCTCGATGATATTGGCACCTCCACGCTGCAGTCCGAGCAGAATGTCCACTGTATCGTCCTTGGTCTTGAAGCCGCAGGGCACGAACGTGATAAAGGCTGCCGTGTTGTTGGCCTTGCGCTCGGCAAAAACCTCTGCAATCGTCGGTCTAGACGTCAGTGACATCAATGGAATTAGCTGAAAAGGTCGCTTTAGAATGTTGTATTTTATACAGGTCAAGTGGGAGTGCACCTGGTCATAATACTGAGGTCTGCGAAATACGCGGCGAATTCGAGTCTGACGCAATTTGCAACCGTGTTAAAAGGACTTGAAAGCAGGCAGCTGATACCTTTCTAGCCAGTCACAAGTCGAGCAGATGCGCATAATCTTGATTTTGCTACCGTGACACTATCGACCAATCAGATTCCAAGCCAGTCGACAGACGGATGGACTACCAGTTGATTACCGATCGTGTCAAAGATCGTGCGTCATAAGCATGTCATTAATCATAGCGCGAACGTGTCTTGAGCATACCTGTTTTCTTCGGCTGGATGTGGCTGCGGATGCCACAGGTGGAGCAGATCGGTCGGAACTCGCAAAACAGAGAAAGACACACGGGACAGACGAACGCTGTCGAGATCACCTCTCGATGGCAAAAGCACATGGCACGAAAGTCGACCGAGTCTTGCGATGGCAGCTTGAGCAACTTGCGCATGGATGGATCCGGCAGATAGATTGCGATCAGGTACTGGAGCAAACCACTGTGGTCGTCGGGCTTGTAGTAGATACCACCCGTAAGATAGGCTGCCTGTTGCATGAACGACGACTGCTCGGACGAAAGGATGCACGCGTCGACTGCCACGTTCTTCTTCTGAGCCGAGAAAATGCCATTCATGATGGCGATATAATGCTCCGACACATCGGGAGATTTCTGGATGACCAAGATCCGTGGTCGCAGTTCCGGGTCCTCATGAATGGCACGGTTGATGACTAGATGCATGCATACAACAGCACATGCACACCATCAGTAACCTCAACATCCTAGCATAGCATTAACAGTGCAGCACTGCAGTAACTTACAGCAGAGGGCCCTTGACAATGATGCCGCAATGGCTGTTCGATTTGGCTTGGCAGGGTCTAGTGGAGCGTCGCTGAGCTCTTGTAGACGTTGCATGACGCCAGCATTGACCTTTGCAGCCTGCTCTGCACTCCCTGAAGTGTCTTCTTGCTCTGGATTCGGGTACAACATGGCGCTCTTGCCAGCATGAGCCGCGATAATAACAATCCGATTACTGCGGTGCAGCAGCAGGTACGAGTTCACAAACACCAAAGTGCTGGAGATGAGGCGCTGCAGACCGGCGCGATCAGCTGCACCAGCTCCTTGAGCAAACCAGTGCACGGGATTCGTGTCGATAACAAGGACCAAGAGCCCTTCGACTGACGGCTCGCTACTTCCAGCGCCATGCGCTTGCGATATCGTCGCATTTTCCATTTTCCGAATGGGTTCACAAGTGATGTCGATTATGTGAACCACACTATCCTAGGGCGTCGTTTCAACAGATCCATTCACTTTATCCTGACCCTACTACATCAAAACCCTAATGATCGCGTTATGTGCACTAGCACGTGTGTAGCCGACGACCGACAGACCAAAGTGAACGAACGACCTTATAGAGTCCAGATCATGGTGACCACAAGACACAGACAAGCCGTGATGCTGGAGACTGCCAGTTGCAATGATCCACTGTCTTCGTTCGTGATCGTAGACGAAGGGGTCTCGTCGGCGTCCAACGACGACTGGGTTTTGATCCGACTGTCGTCGTCAGCAACGTCCGTAGCTGCAGTGACCGTGCCTGGGTCGACTGACGCGGACGACGACTCGAACGAGGCAGTCGTCACTGATTTCTCCAACGTTGACGAGTCGCCCTTCGTGGTGAGGGTGAGGCTCTCGTAGGCCGGTTTCATGCGCCCCGCCTCGTCGAAAATGCCAAAGTGCGACTCGACCGTGGTCGCGTCATCCACCTGCTTCGCCTTGTAAGGCGTGTCAAAGCCGACAAAGTAGTAGTACTTCCACCCTTTCGACTCGGCGAGCTCGTAAAAGTCCTTCAAGTAGATGGCGGCATTCTCCGCGGACGCCACGGACCCGTTGACAGCAAACCCGTCTGTCGGCCACCCCGTCTCAGTGACGATGACTTCCATGTCGCCCGTCATCTTCAATAAGGGCTCGATACGCTTGTCAAAATGGGCTGCAGCCTTACTTGCTTCGACCTTTTCCCAGAACGGGAACTGGTTAATGGTCACGATGTCACCGGCTTTGAGCATCTCGGGGTACTGGATAAACGTATCAGCAATGTCCGTAATACTGATGGGCACGCGGATGTCGTTGTCGGCCAAGACCTTCTTGAATTGAGTCACGTACTCAATCGACTGCTCAGCCGTAATGTCATTCCGGTACACGGCTTCGCTGCCAACATTGATGCCCACGACGTTGCTGTCAATGAGACCGGATCTCAGGAGCTGCTCAAAGGCTTTGACCTCTGCTTTGTACACCTCCTTATCCTCGGACACCCAGACGCCGAGCCACACGGTTATCGACATTTTCTTGGCCGCCTTGAGCACGCTCGTCACGTCACAGTCCGAGAGACTGTACGTGCGCACGCTGGACATGTAGACGCTTAGAGTCAAGAGCTCGGCTTCGATCGTCTCTGCCGACTTGCACTTGCTGGGATCCCAGTCCGGGTTCTGTCGCAGGTCGTAGTTGATACCGTAGAGCTTCTTGTCCAGCGCCGCTGACGACGACATGAGCACGGCTATGCCAGCGGCGGCGGACAAGATGGATACACGCGCCATGTTCGACTTGTTTTTTGGATAATGACTCAGAATGTCAGGGGGGGGGTACCACAACCCACTGACCGACCAAATGCCTGATTTATAGACGAAACGAGGCTCTTTCCGCCAATCAAAAACGTGTGAATCTTGGCAGATGGATTTGCTGAATTTTCCGAGAAACATGTCTGCGGTGAGCAATTATCTGAAGTGAACGCCAAGATTCGCTCACGGTGATGTCGACCCTCCCCGTCACAATGTTATTATTGTAATATTGTGGACATGCACGACGTGTTTCGATTATCGTACAGCTGACGACCTGAACTTCCTGGTTGAAGTCGCATTGAATTTGGCGCAGTATCTAAATGCTTTTAGTTTGAATAACCACGAATATGCGTCGCTACAGAAGGTTTTGTATGTATGAAGGGCTGTACATACAGCGCGTGCTATCCCATCTTGCGTGACGAAAGACTTTCGAGTAAACGCGTTTGTTCTACACGCAAGTTGTAGATCCCACACGTATCTCCATCCCCTTGTGTCACATCGATACGAAGTCCTTCGTTGCCCTATCGCAGAAGCTGATTCCAATGTGTGTTAGCCTAGTCTTATTGCCAAAAGCCAATTCATGAATGGAATGTCACTGTCAGCGTATGCGTCGGCTTTGTCACTTAAGCCAACATTGTCGTTACATAGCTATTCACTTGAATAGCATACACCAGTGCAAATGACACATCAGCTAATCAAGTGAAGATGGAATCCAGTAAGACCCTTCCACTGACGACTCGACTTAATTTCGTAGGATGCTAGGCAATCAGCTCGAGCTCCTGCTTCTTGCTATCTCTGACTCGACTATTGCAAAATAGCGCCAAAGATGACTACTGCCTGCTTGCTCTTGCAACGATAGGTGCAAGAAATCACCAAATAAAAAATTGAGCATTTGAAGGTATAAAAGCAGCAGTTGTCGTGAAGTTTACAAGATCCTAACGTTGTTGTTTGTAATAGCGCAAACCCAGCGAGAGCTTTATGACTTGAGAAAGACCTTCTTTTTAACGTGCATTCAGTAACGCCAAGCGAGCGGAACATGCTACGTTCGGTTACAGCTAATCATCTACGTACCTTTGTTTTCATTGCCTCAAAAGGCTCACCTTCAACTCTCTCTATCAGGTTTCGTCTTGCCTATTGCCTTGTACTTCCATAACCTTTTTCTCTTCCGCCTCTTTGAGCACCAAGGAACAGCTCAATCTGCTGCTTCTTTTGCCTCCCGTTTCTCCTTCGCGGCTTCGATCTACGTCAAGAAGCCACAAAAGCAAAAAAAACGGCACAATCTCAGTCAATCTGCCCCATCCAATGTCGTTCTCCAGTTCTGCCTTCCTCTACCTTGGCTGCCATCGCCTCTTTTCGACTACCAAACTTGCGATTCTTGCCATGGATGCGACTCGCCTGTCCGCTCGCGGTCGTAGCTGCAATAGCTTGTGCCGCTGTTTCCTCGCACGCCGCTTTGAGCTTGAGCGCTACGCGCTTGTGCTGAATATCGGCCATTCTTCTGAGTAAAGAAAAGCGCTTGGAATTGCTCCAACGATAAATGAAGTCATAACACCCCCGTTCGAGCAAATATCGAATGATTACGTGATATCAACACCCAATCAAAACTATTGGCAGCGAGTCGTACAATAATGGTATCGCTATCTCGCAAGACATGCAGTGCACAGACGACTGGATCAACGTCCGTAGAAGGTATGTAGCCATGATATTTTCGATTGTACCAACAGACGTTGTATACCATGTGTATTGAAAGCTGTGTAATTATTGTTAACACTGATCCAATGGTGCAGCTTCCGTGTGGAAATCGTATCTGGCCATTCGACCGTCAAGCTCCAATAATGGTGGAACGAGTGGCTGCAATGTATCGGATAAAGTGGGTACAAGCTTCTCAGGTGTAAATTTGCGTGGACGAAAACGAGCGAAGCCACTAACTAGTCGAAGTGCTGTGCAAGATACTAGCACGTGGATCACTCTGGCCAGTCCACTGAGGAAACGACGTAGCGACGGACAAGAAGGCGCCACAGTGCTCGAAAGTGTCCGTTATTACTGGGAACACCTGAGCGTCAACGAACGGCAGCAGATTCTGTTTCTGGATGAACCGGAACTCGTCAAGCAGCTGTACAAGCTAAACTTGAGCTTGTTATGTGTCGGGTTGATGCAGCGCCACTTTGAGACGTCCACCCGAAGTGTTCTGAGTGCAGCAATCGCTGACAAGAAAGTAGCAGCGATGTCGGCGTCGACTGAAGCGCAAACTGCGACCTTGGCGGGCTCGTCATCAGTAACGGATCGAAAAGGGACACCGCCATCAAGCTGTGCAGTGCCAAATTTATCTCCGGAGAAGACGTATGAGCTGCTTGAAGCCATGGAGTTTATGGATATAGGAACTGGTATGCGGTCCTCAGAGCTGCGCTAGTATGAGGTTGACGGTGTTCTTGCTTACTCTTGTTTGTGTGCGGTCTACAGGCATCTTGACAGTGAAAACAGAACTGGCTGAAGACACGGATCGACTGTTCACACTGGTGGAAGAGGTTTTAGAAGGGTTTCTTACATCGGTTCATGTGCTAAAGGAGAGCAAGTTCATCAGATTGTTTGTGACGGAAAGTGAGACTATCAACTCATGGCCAAATTACCAGCGCCTGATCGCGATGCTGGTGGAGCAGGTACACATTGTTTGAATCACTTGCCCGTTATGACCGTGGTTGTGGATCATGCTGACATCTTTATCCAGCTTATTTTGAGGAGCTACGTCAGCCACTTGGAAAAGGAAGCCGCGCGACAAATGGAGCAACTGTTGCTGGAGGTGTCGCTAGAGGATAAAAGCTTGTCGAGACGCATTTCGACGTTCTGTGACAAGAAAAGAAAAAGCAAGAAGCAGAAAAAGCGTAAAGCAGCACATCACGAGGCACCGGCTACTGATAGAGTTGATTTGACTCCAAGCAGTGTTGATGATGAAGGCGGTGGAAATCAAATGGGGAATGATCCAATTGCAACATCGACAGTCGAGGGTGCAATGATGGAGCCCGTCTTTGAACCGACACCAGAGTTCACATCTATCTCAGCAGACAGCGACTGCCACTACTTTGTGAACACAGAACCGATCAGTGAAGTTACGCTGGGCAAAGACGAAGTTATCCATGCAGAAGTGGAAAATTCAACGAACAAGCTGTCACGTCTGAACCCAAACGCGCTCGTCTTCCAGCCCCAGGAATTCGAGTCATGTGCTGATGAGTTCAACGTGCGAAGCTCAGATGCAGGAAAACGGTCGTTTGGTCAGTATGTCATCAGCGTGCCGTGGGACGATGTCAACCTTGATGGAGGTAGTATCGTTGACAGCCAAACTGTCGACAGTGGCTCGTCTAGTGGAGATGAAGATGGCAATGACAGAAGGGCCTTCCAACGGTCAAGAAGGAAGCAACGGCGACGTGAAGAAGACACGGAGCTGGAGTCCCAGCTGCAACAGGTTTACGCGTCCACGTCGTCTCTCTTCGGCTGGGACTTTTTGCGACAGCGCGAGCTCCAGGATGTCAATGTTCACTGGAGCGAGTTGATGCTGTGGCGAACTGCGCCTAAAGAAGTGGTCCGGTACTTTTCATCCGACAAAAGGGACACAGCCTCTCGGTTCCAAGCCCCTCAACTTCTGGCACCTGCATGTCCTGTGCCATCGAGGTACTACTTCAACATGCAGCCGTCACTGCCATTTGGACCTCCTCTATCGGGGCCTCCTGCACGCATGGAAATACCTCTCTATGGCACACCATTTGGCTATCCACTACCCGATGTCGTGTCGTCACCAGACTTTTCCAGTATGCAATATTCGCATCCAAGTGACCAGGACGACCAAGCTTGACCTCTCGACTCCGGAGGTGGACAATTATTGTTGCATATCGTAATTTTATCGTGTACGTCACAATAAATATTGTAAAGACCGTACTTAACAGCAGCTCACTGGCTCAGAATTCAAGCATAAATACAAAAACATGATGGCTCGAATCGGCTTCACCTCCGTGGTCGCTAAGCGGGCGGCTGTGTGTGCTCTGCTGTTCGACGCCACTGCGTCGTCTGCTAGTATGCGTAGCTTTGGGTCTAAGCCCGAGAAGAAAAAGAAGGGCAAGAAAAAGGGGAACGACGATGCCAACTTTGAGCAGATGCTGCGTGCGATCAAGGGCCAATATCCGGATGCGTACGTTTTATGCTAGGCCGCGGGTTTGTCAGTGTATTGTATTATTGCAATACATATTTCCATTTCCACTCGTTTAATTGTGCTTGTGCTTTGGCTGTTCATTTTATTTTATATTTACATTACAGCGAGGAGTGGACAGAAAAAGAGAAGCAGCGCCACCAAGAAATTGGTCGCCGCTATAATGTCATGAGCACGATTGAACACAATCACTTTATGCGTGACGTGCAGACCAAGATCGATCTCAAATGGGAAGCCATCAATGCACTGCCTGCAGAGCTGCAAGCGGAAGCAATGGAGATTGATGACGCTCCTATTCCGGAGGAACGAACCATGGCCACATGGACGCCGCCGATTCTGGACGAAGGAGAGGAAACAACGGGCTGAAGCAGGCACATAGATGGCTCGCCAGAGCCAACATGCAGTTCGCAAGCCGCTGGTTTGCAGAGAGACAGCGTGTGAGTGACAAATAGACCCTCAGATGAAGCGAACAGGCTTGTATCAAGGCGATTGGGCTATGCTACATTGTTCGGATTGTGCTGCGGTTACACATTGTGGCACAACTCATTGCACAACGCTCGTTCATGTGCGTCAGGTGCGCTCGATGGCTTTTCGGCTTTGGTGTCGTCTTCATTTTCTTCTGCGTTGCCTGCTTTGTTGTCGAGAACTCCTGGTCGTGCAGCAGTCGGCTGCTTGTTCCACCACTCACGAACATTGCGCTGGATCACCAGTGAGGCCAGAGCATGCGTCTTCATCCGAGCAAAATGCTTGCGACAGAGCACTCCGCGTGTGGCGGCTTGCAGCTTTATTGCGACGTGCTTAGTTTGCAGGAAACTACGTCTGGCCAACATGGTCCGCGTCGCGGCCTGGACAGTTATGGCGGCTCGCTCACGTTCTGACCGCTTGTTTGTCTCTGTAGGAACGTGCTCCGTGTCTTCTTGCTGTTCGATACTTTGCGTGGCTTCACGAAGCTGGATGGTCGTCTCACGCATGTTTCTGCAGTTCCGCTTGAGCAGCCACGTGCGTATACCGTGCTGCAGCACTTTCACCTCGTCTTCAAGCAACTGTCTCTCTTCTGGACCCATGAGTTCCATGGCTGCTTGGAGCTTGTTCAAACTTTCCTCGTTATCAGCGATAACACTATGAACATCCGAATCCTTTTGAGTGCCGGGTAGGACGAAGTGACCGTCAGCAAGGTCAGCAGCATCCATGCCAGCCATATTTGCCGGGGAAAGGCCAAAGCCCGCCGATACCTCTGAGCTGCTAGCGCTGGAAGAGATCAAAGGGTCTTCCTCCGCAATACTTTCATGGCGCCATGCCGCGTGGCCCGCCGATTCTCGTGAAATGCTCAGCGATAAAGCGCACTTGTCATGTAAGCTCATCGTGGAAAAAGCCCCGAGCAGAAGCTTACGGTTGTGTTCCTGCGTTTCTCCCATCTGCAAGGCAACGAAGCACACAAAACCCAATGAGCGATCCGATCCAGCTCAACAAGAGTACAGAATGGCCACCTACGCGCGAGACCGTTTTCGACGGTAAGCTTGCTCCGTAAGGACTCTTGCAGCTATTCGGGTACACATGAGGTGGTCCCACGGAAAATTCGGTGTCTTCAATGCCCTCCAAGAGGCCCATGTCTCCTGCATCCATGTAGGGTGTCGATATGCCATCTATCTCCATCAGCGTTCCGTATACTTCGTCGACGACACTCGCGTCGATGGGAGTACCATCTCCCATGCAGCGATACAGTTTGGCTGCAACATCCGCGTGACCGGATTTATCAGCACGATCAGCAGCAGTTAAGCCCTCGAAATCGAGGACTTGTAAATCAGCCCCAGACTGCTGCAGCACATCAATCACTTGGTCATGACCACATCCTGCTGCCAAGTGAAGCGCCGTTTGCCCTTGGGTACTTTGCTGGTTGATCTGTGCGCCGTGAGCAAGCAGAAGAAGCACCAATTGAGAGTAATTGTAGAAACTCACATAGTGCAGCAAGCTCAAGCCAGCTTCATCAAGTGAGTTGAGCTCTTCCAGCAGCTCTTCGCTCGTATGTGCAACTGTTACAAGCTGACGCACGACACGCTCCAGTAGTTTCTCGGAAAGCTGCTCCAAGTCATTGTCGCTCATGGCCTCGATTGCACAGTCGTCCAATGAAGTCGATGTTGCGCCAAAAGAAGTTGACGAGACTGGCGGTCCAACACGTAAGCTTGACTGAGGAACCTGCTCACTCGAGATCTGTTCTCGACAGGACGATAAACACGCCCTTCCAGAAGGTTGTTCACTCCGTAGAGTTGATCCACCTCTCGCATCTGCAAATATGCCTTCCTCACCGCTATATCTGTCTGGGACACCAGAATCGATAGTCCCGACTGCAGACTCCACTGGTTTGGTCTGTATCACTTGGTGGAACTCGGACAATCGTTCGACAACTCGGATCTTGCACTGTCGTTCGTCCACTTGTCACACATCATACCGAGCAGTCAAAGCATAAGCTGTTGAGGCAAGTGGTAACTGAGCAAACAGTGGCATAAAAACTTACAATCCGACTCGACATATGTCGACAATGATCGATTCGATCCTAAAACATTGTTCAGCGGCCGTACGCATTCATCACCGGCAGAGGAATGAACAGCACGAGTTCGGCTTCGCTTGCCCATGCCGGAGGCGCTGTGTACAGCACGAGAAACTGACGCTTCGGAAAGGTCAATAGCCTGTTCATCTTTAGCTACTTGGTCCACCAGTGATGGGGACGCCCAGCGGTAACTTCGGTAGGTGAACTTTTTTTGCTGCGACAGTTGGAAAGCTTCCTGTTGCAGTGCTTCACGCCAGTGACACACGTACATGTGAACACTACCAGGATTTGTGCAACTAGGAACTGCATCAAAATGAAGCGCAGCAACGTCGTCAACAAGTTGTATCATACGTGAATGCCAATTACAAGGGAACGAGATAAGCACAGATACGTACCGATGCAACGTAAGACTGTATCCGAGACTATTTCTGCGCGAGTTCGTTTGGTACCAAACTGCACAAACAAATTCATGGTATCGTGTGCCACACTCTTTGGAAGACTAGCTGCAAGGCAGATTAAGACCTTGGCCCCACCATCTTCGAAGTCCCAGTCGGGTGAGAAATCAGAAATTTCAGCCAGCCTGAAGGTGCGCCGGCCTTTCGAGCCAGAGTTGCGCTCTCCTAAAGCAATGAGGCTATTCGGGTCATTTGTTTGTTCGTCTGCACAAAGTCCTGTGTTGGTTCCGTCCATGCTGTCCCCCTTCAGCGATGGAGAAATCGCATCAGAAGAGTCCATCGACGCAGTCCGCCATATCGTCGTTCGGGACCCTAGGTCCACACCAAGGCAGCCTAGACAAGAAGTTACAACGTAAGGCCGATGGTCAAATAACCACAAAAACACCGGACGCATATAGACACCGTCTGCGAACCATTCATGATAGACCCTTCTGTTTTGTCGGACGACACAAGTTTTTGTGAATACTGCCGCTGAGATGGTGGCATTGATACTGCAGAAACGGATAACGACCGATTTATTTCGTTCCGCGTCTTGGTTACATGTGTCGACACTGGACATCCCACGCATCCCTTGTTCATCTCGTCTAAGTAGTGAACAAGCACAATGTTCTTCATAGAGTCCCTCATGTAATAGATTCTTCGATGAAACGTCTGCAAGCAGCTCATCGTAAACAGCACACCAGTACCCTGGATAAATTCACACGCACAAACCTCTATTTTGTACTACAAAGAATCAACTTACAGAAATCTCGGCGGAATGCACATATGTTCCCAGGACAATGACCTCTCGGTTAATCACTAGCTTTGCTCGGTCCTCACGAACCTGCACGTCATACATAAGCAGGAGATCAGCACAACCTGGTATTCAAATCACTTTGTACTAACGCAACCAAATAGCACGCCATAACCACACAAGAATCGCCACCGCACCCGTCCACTCTTGTCTTTGCGCTTCTGCCAGTGCCAGCCATCTTTCTTGTATTCCGATACATCCAGTGTATTGTAGAACAACAAAGTGCCACCTGAACACGAATCAATAGGGTACCATAAGTTAGGGCGAATCTATCACTCAGATAAGGTTCAAATCGTCGAAAAGCTCCTTTATTCAACCATGCGACTGGAAGACGTACTTGGTGGTCGAAACTGCACCGAGCGGAGCAGCGGGACGGTCACTGTCTTGTAGTGCAACAAAAGGAACATTAACTCGTCTTTAACAAGCCATCGCCGCGTCGCTTCGTTGCACAGAAAGACCGCACGCGCTTGATTCATTCGCCGTCTTATAGCGTCGTGGGGTTTACGCGGCGGTCAATAGCGCAATAGCGCGAGGTCGCAGTGTCGCAGATTTGTTTTAATTGGGTTAAAACACAAAAGGCGCGCAGCGATGGGCGATCGCCGAAAGAGTGTCATGTTGATGGCGAGTCCCTGTATTAGCGTTTTTACGAGTAAAACCAAGTCCGGGCTGAATACCAATGACCACATTGGTGCTCACGCAGAACCTCGAGCCATGTGATTTGCAGGCATATGCCAATATTAGCTACCGGATCATATCTCGACACGAGCATAACTTCGCTGGTGGAAGAGCTAATGTATTGCCAATAGATTCAGCTGTGATTGTCGTAGATAAATGCATCGGACTGGACCATAATTTTGTGTCCGGCGATAGGTCATGCTGCAACTCAAAGTGACGCCACGACCAACAGACGATTGCCGCACTCTTCAGCTCAAACTCCGATCGAGATCGACGCGTCGCCGCAAAACGCTGGGATGCTCCACACTGGCATGACCTTTTGTCAGTACATTACCGGAACGATCTCCACGCTGTCAGTAGTCCGGTTTGTTTGCTCTATTGTGAGAAGACGCTGCAGTGGTGAAGTCCACTTTTCCATCTCTCGTCTTCAGGCTTCCAAGTGAAACACACGACCAGGGGACACGCCCCCGAAGTGGGCAATCTGGGCTGCTGCGCGTTGTTGCTTGCTCGCCATCTTCTTCGCATGCCAAGCAGAACGCTGGGGGTCCTTCATCGTGTCCACTTGCCACGCAATGTTCGGCACACGCACCAACTTGGCCGTCGTAGGGGACGTAGCGTTCGCGTAAAGCTGCTGGTAAACGGCAATAGTAGCCACTTCTTCAATGCCTGCGACCGAGCCGATCCCGTCGACCTCGAGACGCAATGCGTCTCCCATCAGAACAAATCCCACCTTTGTCAGTTGCTCGAGATTCCATAACGCGAGTGTGTTCCACGGCGATGTCAACCCGCTCAGTTCAATCGGCTGGCCGTCAGGGTCCGGCTGGAAGTCGTGGCCAGGCATGGCCGCGCCCACCACGAGGTCGCGAGAGAGATCAAAGTGCAATCGTAGCGACTCCACGCTAGCCGCTTCCACGTCAATTTCCAGCGACTGCAAGAGCAAGGTATCGGCATTTGGAAACTGCTCGGCCGCAGTCCCAATCAACGCATTGAGGGCCGGCACGAAGTTCCCCCAATGCAACATGGGGATGACCTTGATGTGACCGAGAAACGCCCGTGCACTCGTCGCACTCTGCAGTTGGGCAAAGAACTCGCGCACTGACGCAATGAAGTCGTCAGTTGGTGTTGACGCGTCTCCCTCCGCTAATCGAGTGGCTGTGATGGATCCGGCCATGGCGACGGGAAGACCGACAGCGAGCAGGATCCCGCCATCGGCGTACGTGGCTGCCCGAGTGCAGAATGCAAGCACTTGGTTCAGCACCTTGACGACGTCGATGCGCTCGTGCTGCGAGTGGCTGTGCCAATGGAGTCGCGTGCCCACCACGGTCTGACCCTTCATCGTTCCAACTTGACAACTCGTCTGATTCCGTTCTGAGAACCTGAAACGATATGCCAAAGTGAAAAGCGGTCTCATGGTCTCATGTGCAGGAAAATGGTTTAGGCGTCAGGACTTTAACTGGATATTTTGGCCAAGACCGGTGCCGAGACTGGATATTTAGGATCATCCCTAACTTTTTTATCTTGCTACCACTTTTGTATACTCACACTCATTGAGGCAGGAACTTCATCGAAATCCTTAATCTGATCGGCAGGTCGATCTCCTTGCTGGCATCATGCACTCGTGCAGAGGTTTGGGGTAGTATGGATGAATAGAAGCGTACGCTCTACATTTGATCGACTCGTACATTCGTTACAAGTTACTCAAAGAGATCTTTATTGCACCAGAAAGAGCACAAAAATAACCGGCAAACATGCCCACAAAGACGGCGCAGTCGGCGATAACCTGTGTGTTGTGTTGACTTCGGTAGGCATTCTTCACATCAACGTCGCGCGATCACAATGACCAAGTTCTGAAGCGCGGGAGCCGACACTGTGTACTAGTCGGTCTTTAGAGCTTGTGACGATTATTGTGATGGCACACAGCTATACCGACGTCAAAATACAAGGTGCACACTTGACGTAACTCATCTTCCATACATAAACACCAACATCCAGAAAGTTAGAGAGTATCAACAAGAGAACAGAGCACCATGTGAGAAAGACCAAATTGAAGAGAAACTGCACCATTCGTGTTTATCGATGACGTTGCGCCGACTGCAATTTGTAAAGCTCTACCCGAGCCTGCATCAGAGCAACGTCACTGAGGCTGGCTCAGGAAGTTTGCACCAGCCGGACTACTTGCCAGAAAGCTTTTGAGCAGACCGCATCCATATCTCCCGATCGCGGCAGTACTGCTTGTATTCGCTTATCATTTCGTCAACGTAATCGGGGGCGCTGGAATCGGGGTGCGCTTCCTTACGCCACATCTTTTCCAATTCTTCAGGTGGCACTCTCATGCGCGCATACCTATCGAATTGCGCATCTTGGATCAAATTTGCAGTCGCGCGCGTTTCCGGCGAGCGCTTTGCCAGGAAGACCACGAATGCTGCATTGGCCTCGCCAACAAATTGCTCGAGGTAATTACGCAGGAACACGTCCAGCGTCTTACCAGTCAAGTTCGACAAAGATTTAGCGTCTACTGTTCTCACCAACCACTCTGCTAGCTCAGTTCGTCTTTTCTCGGCAGCATCCGCGTGAACATTAGCACTGGGAACTGATGGATATTCGGAAAGCCGTTCCCTCAGCTTTTCAACCTTTTCGATCCACGCTCCCGGTTGGTAAGAAGGATTGGTGTGCAGTCCTTCAGGCGGCAAATGAACAGAGTGGGTGATGGTCTCCAGTTCTTCAGCCAAGATACTCGGCCGATCGATCGGTACGCTTCGCTCTTCTTCCTCGTTTACATCGGCATCGTCGCGACGCAATTCCTTCTTCACAGTAGGAGGGTCGATGTTAGAACCAAGCGTTGTGACCCCTGCTTTGCCAAAACCCGAGGCGCGATCGGCATAATGAACAAGCAAACTACTGACAATGCCCGCGCGGAGATAGACAATTTTCATGCTGCAGCGGCAGGCAAGGAGGGAGTGGGCAAAGCACTTGGCGTAAAGAGCGCAAAGCGAGTTCTGAGCAAGCTGCACCGGATGTGCAGCGATATGGTACGGCAGCCTGATATGAGACATTGAAGGCACCACTTTTGCCAACCCACACGATTTGTAGTGGCTGTAATCTAATCTGATTCCCTTCCCGATCGGCAGCCGGCTGCAACAACAGACAGAGACGAGACCCTCCGGGGAGCCAGATAACTCGCCCCTTTTCCTTGGGCGGGAGGTCCCCAATAGTGGGACCAAGGTATAAGTGGGGCAGGGTTTTATCCTCGCTGCGTGCGCTACGGGAGGCAACGCAGCGTGTGACTCGAGAGAGAAGCGGCTCGCAGGATATCCTAGTGCAGGGCACGTCGACGATGGATCGAAGTATCCTGCAAAAGAAGAAGGTCCTACTATTCACGGTCTGCCTACAACTCGCTGACACGTTCGCTGAGCACGAGCCCGGTCCCACGAAGAGAACTATTCCAAGACCGTGACGACCCCACCGATGAGATCCAGTACCGGTTGTTTATGTACAGTAGCACCGAGGAAGCTGCCCTTCGTTCAGTGGTGCGTCTGGGCACATTTGAGCACGTTGTGAGCCCGAGCCGACCTGAAGAGCAAGAAGTCGACGACGAGGTGATGGCCAGGGATTAAGCCAAGATGGATAGTTGGACTACTGCAGTGGTAACAGGACTCCTAGTCAAGCGTCCTTTGTCTACTGAATCAATTACTCCGAGCGCGAGAGCAGCCCCGCCATCCGGTAGAGTGCACACAAGAATTTAAACCTGGACTTGACCAACGGATGGTCCACGGGACCTTTTGGGAGTGCCCCGCCGTGATGCCGGACGTCTTGGGCCAGCAGAATGAGAAAGCTAGGAGCAGTGAGACTGTGTCATGGTAGATGGCACGAGGTGGTCACCATACACCTACCAGACATCTTGCTCGTGGTAAGTAGCTGCAATACACGGTCTCAGCCTCCATAATTTAATCTGATTCACGATAAGGATGCTGTAAAAAGTAGGAGCTAAGTAAAGTAAATAACTTGTATATTACCGCGCACCAGACGCGTTTCGGCCCCCCGCCGGGGGCCTCATCAGTGGTTTGTCAATCTACAAGTGAGAACTATCCATACATACGTCTAGCTGCCGTACGACCTATAATAATGCATAGAACCCTAAAGAACATTCTAGACATACCCTATCATGGGTCGAATCTCTGGAGTCGAATCCAGTGCATCAAGCACTTAAAACACTCCCCCTCGAAGACATGAGATGCAGACCACTTTGGTATCGACCCGCCTGTAATCCTCACTGCTGCATCCGTGCACCATGGGAATCTTGATTGAGTCTTTCCCCTGCGCTCCAGCCAACCTCGATGATACCGAGCGTTCCAGGTATTCCGGCTCCCCCATCGTCCAGCACCATGTCACATCTTGACATCTCGTAGTCGTCGTTCGCCTTGCATGTAGTTTCCACTTCTTCTTGACCACAAATACACTTGTCACCACTTGACTTGACTCTTCCTTCGATAGCACTCGCGCATTCAGACCATCTCGCGTCACCACCCTTGCACAAACCCTTTTCGACTGCACGCGCACCGTCAACGATCCCTGTCGATGAATTCTTCGGCGCCTTACTCGTGCATCGAGTGTAACGGGGTGAATCGTTACATAACAATTTATAAGAAATTGTTAATAGAATATAACTATAAGAGTTATATTCTCAGAATATTGTCATAAGGACAAATATTCTGTAGCACTTCCAAGTAGTTCCTAATTGGTTGATATAGGCCATTATATCAACCAACGAAGACGCGCCACGACAGACGCACGCAATGAGTGGTGAGCAGATAACTGATTTGCACATTTGTATTTAGACATAGTTAGATGAAGATAAATAGGGATTTATTGCAGACATTAACTATTATAAATACAGTTCTACTTTTTACTTTAACCAAGTACTCGCTTCTTCTTACCGTCTTCCTCTGCACGTACGAGTGTACGTGAAGTTACGAGGCACCGCCTTATTCTGTTATCAGAATAAGTAGCTTGTACTGTCACCAGTACAAGCTTCAGGGTGCCCCGTTACACCTGGTAGCACTTCGTAGTCCGTCCAAGGACCGCGTTCACATCCAACATGAATATGTTGGATGATGAAGATGACCAAAGCTTTCACGCTACGCGTGACGGCTACTCCCATTTGAGCGATGTCGAATGGGATGCGGTTGAACGAATGGGTTCGACCATGGGCATCCATGCTGTTAGCGTCATGCTAGAGGCTCTCAATAGAGATGCCCAACATGCTACTATCGCCAAGTTCATTCAAAATGAACTTGACGCAGAACGCGAGAAAGTAGCCTTGCTTCACCAACAAGGTTCTCAACAAGCAGAGTTGTTGAGAGAACAAGGTGCTCAACAGTTTGAACTGTTGAGACAGCAGCAAGCTGCTGCTGGCGGGTCGATGCACTCGCGTCGACCCGAGACTTTGAAGATTGACATCTCAAAGTATAGAGGGGTCGAAGAAGACTCCCTCTTGAGATGGTTCGTCGAGGTGGATGACGCCATAAGGGCGCGTCGCATCGACGACGGGGATATGCAAGTTGCATTTGCCCAATCAAATCTGGCAGGACGTGCCAAGACTTGGGCACTGGGGCTCAAGCTGCACGACCCATATGCGTTTGGGTCGTTGGAAGTCTTCAAGTCGCGGCTCAGACAAACGTTTGAACCGCCTAGAGCTGAGTTCAGGGCTCGAACCGAACTCTTGAAGCTCAAGCAGGGTAAGCGTGATGTGCACGCTTACGCTCAACACATACGACATCTTACGAGTTGTATAAGTTCCAATCCAGTGGATGAACACACGTTGGTTTCGGTGTTCATGCAGGGTCTTGCGGATGGTCCCGTCAAGACTCACCTGTTCCGGCTTGAACTAGATTCACTAGAACAAGCCATTTCCATTGCGGAGCAGGAAGACTTCAGTCTGAGACAGGCTCGCGCCAGCTCGACATCATATCGTCAACCGAGACGATATGACAACGGAGGTCCAGAGCCGATGGAACTCTGTTATGTAGAGAGCGAGAAGGCTCGCTCTACAGGCTACAAGAAGTTGCAGAGATGCAACAGATGTCAAAAGACAGGACACTACGCTTACGAGTGTAGTGCCCCTCGTCCAGTGTCTCGCAACACTGGGCGTAGTTACCGTCCACCCATGAGAAAGAGGCAGGGACACGGGTCCGCCGTTGGTGCAAAAACGCAACAACGGGATGGACCGTCAAAAATGGACAGGATCAGTAGGTGCGGAGCACCCTACTGGTCCAGCAACGTCAAGAGAATTTGTAGGCCTCTTGATGAAAGTTGCTCCCAACACACAAACGTTGTGCGTTGCTGCTCTAGGTAATGAGGATTCACTCATTACCTTGAAACTCGAAGTGACGAATAAGTTGTCCCTTCGAGCTCTAGTCGATTGTGGGGCGTCCAACAATTTTGTGCGACGCCAATCGCTAGAAGATGTTCACTTTAAGTTTGTTGAGTGTGACACACCTTCTATGAGGATGACGGTACGTCTTGCGACAGGCGCATCCGTAACCGTCATGAAGCGTATAGTGAAGATTCACTATACGCTAGAAGATACCCAATATGACGATGACTTTATCGTATTGGATTTGGATGACAAATTTGATGTCATCCTTGGAATACCGTGGCTCAGAAGGTACGAACCACGGGTAAACTGGCAACATCGGACAGTAACGATGCCTGCCGCTTGTTCATCAGATGGCCATCTGATGAACGTTTTGGAGCGTCCACAAGCGTGTGGATGTACTACGAGTGAGTGCGATGGCCTCACTTGTGGTACGGTCGTTAGTACGACTGCACAAAACCTTAGTGTACCAAACGGTTACACTTCGGAGCCAAGTTCCGGCGGCTGTGAGGAAACACAGGCTGCGCCGAAGGTCCACCACTCGAATAAGTCGGGTGGACTGGGACAAAGATGTATCCCTAGAGGGGAACATCTAGAAGAGAAACAATCGATCGCTCAGGTTAAGCGAAACGATAATCCTAGATCGACTGGAGAGTCTTTCGTAGAGGATCTCGCTGTGGTTGCGCAACCCCAGCTAGAGGAAGTAAAGGGAATAAGTCCCAAGATTACAAATACGGCGGAAATAAGTTCCCCGAAACCCGCGGGAATAAGTCCCCGGGAAGACGAAGGAATAAGTCCTTCGAAGCCTGAGGGAATAAGTCCCCAGGAAATGACAGAGACATTGAATGTCATAGTCAATAACGGATCATGTGTAGGCGCTTATACACTTGATCTGATTGCGCCTCCGAAGTTAACTTCGGAGATCACTCAGTTGCCAACGCTCGAACATAAAAGGTTCTTGCGTGATCTGCGTAGTGGCAAAGTCAAGCAGATCTGCATACTCGTCGCTGACGACGAGTATGTAACCGACATAAGGTCAGCAACAGTGTTTACTGAGAACGAGAGAGTTCTCAGTAGTTCATCTATGGACGAGAGTGTCCTAGATGAAAAGACACGAATTGAGCGATATGAGTCCCAATCATGGGAATCGCTCAAGGAAAATCCTCTCTATGAAGATTTGGTTGAATTCAAGGATGTATTCCCTGAAACTGTTCCGTGCGAATTACCGAAGGATAAAGGTATTCGACACGAAGTCGAGCTTAAACCAGGCTCGAAGTACTGTGTCATGAAGCAGTGACCACTGCCTCGTGAACAAGTACTTGCGATCGACAAGTTCTTTGCCGATCGTTTAGCAGCGGGCCATGTGAGGGAATCAACTTCCCCACATAGCTCTCCGACCTTCTGTGTGCGAAAAGCAACAGGAGGGTGGCGGATAGTGCACGCGTTTAACAAATTGAACGCTGCAACGGTACCGGCTCAGACGCCGATACCGAGGAAGGACGTAATCATTGATGGTATGTCAAAGAGTACCATCTTTTCGTCCATGGATTTGATGGATGGCTTCTATCAAATCCTAATGCGGAACAGGATATACCCTATACCGCAGTTAGCACGCCTAGCGGCATGCTCTGGGAATGGCTAGTAATGCCACAAGGGCTCAGTAATGCCCCTGCCACGTTCAACAGGTGTGTATCACATCTGTTGAGGCCAGTACGAGAATTCGCGCCGAGTTATTTCGATGACGTATTCATCCATAGTCGAGCTATGGATGGAAAGTCGGATGTTGAGGTTCACAGGTACCACGTCCGACAGGTTCTTACAATCATGCGAAAGCATCAATTGTATGCAAACCTCAAGAAGTGTATATTTGCAGCAAGCGAAATACCACTTCTTGGGTGCATCGTTGGTAAGAACGGTGTACGTCCTGATCCCGAAAAGATCAAGGCGATCACCGACTGGCCTGTGCCGGTCGATGTCAAAGGTCTTCGAAAATTCCTTGGGCTAGCGGCGTATTTGCATAAGTATTCACGCAATTACGCCGAGATGACTGTACACCTCTCTCGTTTGTTGAAAAAGAACGAGAGGTGGTTATGGAACGCTGAATGTCAACGCTCCTTTGATGGAATCAAGCAGAGCTTGATACAATCTCCAGTCCTAGCAATAGCCGATCAGGACAGGCCATTTCATGTGGTCTGTGATGCCAGCGATTTCGCAATCGGCTGTGCATTAATGCAGTACGACCTTGAAGGCGTTGAACGCGTCGTCTGCTATCAGTCGCGTCAGCTGCAACCAGCTGAGCGGAACTATCCAGTGCATGACAAGGAACTCCTTGCCATGAAGTATGCACTCGCGAAGTTCAGAGTCTATCTATTAGGAGATAGACCCTTCGTTGTTTACACTGACCATGCGTCCTTACGCACGGCAGTGAACAGCCCGCACCTTTCACAACGAATGGCGCGGTGGTTGTCATTCTTTGCAGAATACAACTTTACGGTCGAGTACAAACCAGGACGACTTAATGTCGTCGCTGATGCACTCTCACGTCGTCCCGACTTTGAAACAGTCGCGAAACCCAACAGTGAGACAGTCACTGTTGCGGTTATGGCGTCCTCAGTTCCATCTACAATGTTGTATGATGATGTGAGGCGGGCTTACGCCCAAGATGGTGAGATTGTGAAGTTGTTGTCACATCTCTCCCAACCATCCCGAGAATCGTTGAAACGATTGTCGTCTGCGTATCGATCAGCATCAGATCGATACACTACTCGTAACGGGTTACTGTACTATACAGCCGTTTCTGGTGACACACCACGTGTTGTCATTCCAGATGATACTGATCTGCGTTTGCGGATCATGTTCGAGTATCACGATGCTCCTATAGGAGGACATCGTGGCCGAGAGAAAGCATATCTCACGGTAAGTCGAGACTTTTACTGGCCCCGCCAGTATCAGTTTGTGCGAAAGTATGTTCGCGCATGCGAAGTCTGCCAACGAGTGAAGTCAAGTCCTTCACTGCGTGCACCTTTACAGCCTCTACCGGTTCCGGCTGAGTGCTGGGAATCCATCTCAATGGATTTCGTCTTCAGGTTACCCAAAGACGCACGCGGGAATACGGGTATTCTCGTATTTGTTGACAGATTCAGCAAAATGGTACACCTTGTGGCTGTACCAGAGACAATCACGGCAAGTGGCTGTGCTTGTGTCTTTATTGACACCATCTTCCGACTTCATGGGTTGCCCCGTGAACTCGTATCAGACAGAGATCCACGATTCACTGCTGATTTCTGGCGTTCCGTGTTCAAATCACTCGGAACGCGCTTGAAGATGTCAACATCTGATCATCCAGAGTCAGATGGTCAGACGGAACGTGCCAATCGTGTCCTTGAAGAGATACTTCGAGGATACGTACACTCCTTTAAGAGTTGGAGTGAGTTTTTTGCCGATGGTAGAGTTTGCCATCAACAACTCGGTGCATGCGTCCACGACACATACACCGTTTTACGTGAATGGCTTACGCCATCCGCGTGTACCCACCTTACTAGAGTGTAACTCTGGTTTAAGGGGGGGAGGGACTCGCGCGAGCAAAAACCGATTTGGTTCACGCTCATCACGCTCTGACGAAGAAGTCATTGCGTTTGATGCCGATATCGATAACATCAATATCGAAGAAGATGATGCCAGTGAGAGTGCGGAAGCCCTCACTGAAGACAATGATCCCAGTGAGAGTGCGGAAGCCCTCACTGAAGAAAAGTTTGTTGTCGCTGCAGTGCGCTCACAGCACACTGAAGCTAACGAGTCATCAGATGAGTTCATACTGGCTCGTGAAACGGTAGTCCGTTTTGTGCAAGACTCCATCGCCGAAGCGGTGGATAAGCAAAAGCAAAACGCTGACAAGAATGGAAGGGCAAACACTCTTTTATTTAATAAAGGTGACTTAGTCCTACTGTCTACGGTTAATCTACCAAAGCATGTAGTGACTAACTTGGGTAGCAGTAAACTACTACCCAAGTACATTGGCCCATTTCGTGTATTGCACCGCCTAGGCAATGCATACACGATCGAGTTACCACGTAAGATGCGAACGCATCCCACGTTTTACGTTGGTCGGCTTAAGCCGTACCATCAGTACGCTGCTTCTTCCGATGAAGAACGCCCTTGCGCTCAAGCATCTCGCAGAGAGCCTTGTGCTCCCGATGGTGGGCATCAACAAGGGTCTGAAGAGCAGTTATCTCAGCCCGAGACCGATCAACAATCCCACGAGCTACCCTTAGCTCGTCACGAAGAGATGTCAGAGATCTCTCGTTCTCAAGCTGAGCAAAGGCAAACTCAGCTCGATGCTTCGAGGCAGTGTCCACCATCTGGAGACGCCTATTCCGCTCATGCTCGAGATCGTCGCGTAACCCTTGCGTTACGCGATCAAAGAAGCTCTCGGGAACACACCGATCCACATGATCGTGTGGAGAGCGTCTTTCCTCCTCCTCCACCTCCATTAGAGGACTCTCGCGGTGGCCAGCGCTATCTAGTTGAGCAGCTGTTGAACCACCGCGACGTGAACGGACGTCGGACGAGTTACCTCGTCCGGTGGCGCGGCTATCCCCCGTCCTGGGATTCTTGGGAGCCCCGCTCCCAATTGATGGTTGACGTACTGGGTCTGGTCGAGCAGTACGACGCGACACATCCTGTGCCGCAGAAGGACCGCCGGAGAAAGTCTTCCCGGCACGGTCATAAAGGGATTTCAGGTTGTCAATCCCTTCGTACATCTCAGTAGAGACACGTACGCGCCACCACGGGCTGGTAAGGAGGTAAGCCTCCTTAGGTGCTCGTGCAGAGTTGTTCACACAACATGGGCACGAGTCTCCCCAAGAGAGGCAGGGTAATCCTTTCTCCCTTGACAGACGATGCAGCTTGTAGCGTGCACCTGTCGGGGTTCGCTTTTCAAACTTATCACGAGCTTTGATAAGTTTGTCGTTCCAAGCGTCACGACCTACATCCTCGAGATTATGGATGTAGGCGTTCCACGCCTGAAGTAGTGAGGGACCATCACGTTTGTGATTCCCACTGTACCATCGATGTCTGAAGAAAGCATCGATGAAGAACTCATGTTCAGCGCGATAGTCTTTCGCGCTGGGGTCAAGTGATGAATCCTTGACGAATCGAACAATCGTGTTCGATAACGATCACTCGTCGTCGCCGACAAGTGATCCATGACGGATTTAGGAGGCATCCATGCCTTCTTTTCTGGAGCGAGACGCAACACATTGCGGTCCCGCTCTTACTGCGACGTGCCGACAGAAGTACTGGCACCTCGCTGCGAAGTGGTGTCCATTGGAGAACCGACACCACTATTAGCGCCCGAGTCTCGCGACCTCGAGCGCCTTCGCTTCGGCGATGGTTCATCTGATTCGTCAGATGAACCAAAGATGCTGCGACGCAAAGCATCGTCCATGCCACGCTTGGCAGGCGGCTTGGATTCAATTGCCGTCGATACGGATCCGTCATCCGTATCAGGAGAGTACGAGACACCGAGCTCGTACTCTGTGAAGACACGAGTGTCTTCATGACCAGCGCCTGCGTCACCAAGTGACACAGGCTGGGTCTCTTCAGCAACCGATGGGACATCAGTTGCTGTTGTCTCTGCTTCGGCGTCCGCACAGAGACGTGCAGACGCGCTCTCGGCGGCCTTGCTCGCGCATCGCATGGGCTTGTTTACCATGCGATGAGATGTTGGAAAGTGGACGCGGACCAACAAGGTGCAAACCCCCGTCCCAAATGATTTGGGACGAGTATCCATTTAGTCAATCAGTCACTAAAGTGACTGATGGTTAGGGGGGTGATGTAACGGGGTGAATCGTTACATAACAATTTATAAGAAATTGTTAATAGAATATAACTATAAGAGTTATATTCTCAGAATATTGTCATAAGGACAAATATTCTGTAGCACTTCCAAGTAGTTCCTAATTGGTTGATATAGGCCATTATATCAACCAACGAAGACGCGCCACGACAGACGCACGCAATGAGTGGTGAGCAGATAACTGATTTACACATTTGTATTTAGACATAGTTAGATGAAGATAAATAGGGATTTATTGCAGACATTAACTATTATAAATACAGTTCTACTTTTTACTTTAACCAAGTACTCGCTTCTTCTTACCGTCTTCCTCTGCACGTACGAGTGTACGTGAAGTTACGAGGCACCGCCTTATTCTGTTATCAGAATAAGTAGCTTGTACTGTCACCAGTACAAGCTTCAGGGTGCCCCGTTACATCGAGCGCCTTCTCTGACGGGGTGTCCCTCGCACAAGTTGGTCCTTGGTGAGGTGTCTGCAGCGAGCACTTGGGCTCATAACCTGTAAAAAGTAGGAGCTAAGTAAAGTAAATAACTTGTATATTACCGCGCACCAGACGCGTTTCGGCCCCCCGCCGGGGGCCTCATCAGTGGTTTGTCAATCTACAAGTGAGAACTATCCATACATACGTCTAGCTGCCGTACGACCTATAATAATGCATAGAACCCTAAAGAACATTCTAGACATACCCTATCATGGGTCGAATCTCTGGAGTCGAATCCAGTGCATCAAGCACTTACAACAGATGCAAGCTCTGAAGCTCGCTTTTTGTATTCAGTTCAAACAGCTGGACCAGGTACTGATAACTCACGATCCCGTTTTAGGTCGGTTGTGGCTAGGGAAAGGGTCGTACGCTGTTGATAAAGAGATGAAGGTACGGGTAGATTGTGTGTTACAGCTACTAGTTAAAACTACTACATCCCTCAAATATCTTAAATAGCGTGGTGAAGATATATTTTATGAATTTGCCGCGTTATAAGCTCAGTAAATTTCTCATTTTCTTATTTTTAAAAAGAAAAAAGGCGTACACTAGCGGTTCCACTTCTAAACTTCATATAGCCATGTCCCAAGTACTGTCACCAATGCACAAAGGCTCGAGATTTACCAGCATATGACCAAGAATATAAAAAGGCGACAAAGTGTTCTGGCAGAGTGGGCTTCCAAGAAGATTTGAGCTCAGATCTTCCAGAACGCCGTCCTTGTCATAATCAAGAAGCGCACTATTCCAGAGTCTATGGCCGACAACGTACATTCCGCCAAAGGCCCGAGAGTCGCTCACAATCAAAATGGCTAAAAAGACCAGTAACTTCAATGCCAAACACGAAATGTTTCCCCAGTTGGAGAAATCATGAGCTCAAGGCCTAAGCGTTTTCAGAACGCCTTGGCCTATATGAGAACACCATCAAGCTCTTTAGTGGAAAGCCGCAACGCTTCCAGCAGCGAAACAAGTGGCGCAGCATCCGAAATTACGGCGATAGCGGGTTTAGCGAATGAGGAAGCCTTGTAACGGGGTGAATCGTTACATAACAATTTATAAGAAATTGTTAATAGAATATAACTATAAGAGTTATATTCTCAGAATATTGTCATAAGGACAAATATTCTGTAGCACTTACGAGTAGTTCCTAATTGGTTGATATAGGCCATTATATCAACCAACGAAGACGCGCCACGACAGACGCACGCAATGAGTGGTGAGCAGATAATCAATTTACACATTTGTATTTAGACATAGTTAGATGAAGATAAATAGTGATTTATTGCAGACATTAACTATACTAAATACAGTTCTACTTTTTACTTTAACCAAGTACTCGCTTCTTCTTACCGTCTTCCTCTGCACGTACCAGTGTACGTGAAGTTACGAGGCACCGCCTTATTCTGTCATCGGAATAAGTAGCTTGTACTGTCACCAGTACAAGCTTCAGGGTGCCCCGTTACAACTTGCGTCGACCCGAAACCTTGAAGATTGACATCTCCAAGTATAGGGGAGTGGAAGAGGACTCCCTCTTGAGATGGTCCGTCGAATTGGATGACGACATAAGGGCGCGTCGCATCGACGACGGGGATATGCAAGCTGCATTTGCCCAGTCAAATCTGGCAGGACGTGCCAAGACTTGGGCACTGGGGCTCAAGTTGCACGACCTATATGCGTTTGGGTCGTTGGAAGTCTTCAAGTCGCGGCTCAGACAAACGTTTGAACCGCCTAGAGCTGAGTTCAGGGCTCGAACCGAACTCTTGAAGCTCAAACAGGGTAAGCGTGATGTGCACGCTTACGCACAACATGTACGACATCTCACGAGTTGTATAAGTTCCAATCCGGTGGATGAACACACGTTGGTTTCGGTGTTCATGCAGGGTCTTGAGGATGGTCCCGCCAAGACTCACCTCTTCCGACTTTACCTAGATTCACTAGAACAAGCCATTTACATTGCGGAGCAGGAAGACGTCAGTCTGAGACAGGCTCGCGCTAGCTCGACATCATATCGTCAACCGAGACGATATGACACGGAGGTCCAGAGCCGATGGAACTCTGTTATGTAGAGAGCGAGAAGGCTCGCTCTACAGACTACAAGAAGTTGCAGAGATGCAACAGATGTCAAAAGACAGGACACTACGCTTACGAGTGTAGTGCCCCTCGTCCAGTGTCTCGCGACACTGGGCGTAGTGACCGTCCACCCATGAGAAAGAGGCAGGGACACGGGTCCGCCGTTGGTGCAAAAACGCAACAACGGGATGGACCGTCAAAAATGGACAGGATCAGTAGGTGCGGAGCACCCTACTGGTCCAGCAACGTCAAGAGAATTTGTAGGCCTCTTGATGAAAGTTGCTCCCAACACACAAACGTTGTGCGTTGCTGCTCTAGGTAATGAGGATTCACTCATTACCTTGAAACTCGAAGTGACGAATAAGTTGTCCCTTCGAGCTCTAGTCGATTGTGGGGCGTCCAACAATTTTGTGCGACGCCAATCGCTAGAAGATGTTCACTTTAAGTTTGTTGAGTGTGACACACCTTCTATGAGGATGACGGTACGTCTTGCGAAAGGCGCATCCGTAACCGTCATGAAGCGTATAGCGAAGATTCACTATACGCTAGAAGATACTCAATGTGACGATGACTTTATCGTATTGGATTTGGATGACAAATTTGATGTCATCCTTAGATTACCGTGGCTCAGAAGGTACGAACCACGGGTAAACTGGCAACATCGGACAGTAACGATGCCTGCCGCTTGTTCATCAGATGGCCATCTGATGAACGTTTTGGAGCGTCCACAAGCGTGTGGATGTACTACGAGTGAGTGCGATGACCTCACTTGTGGTACGGTCGTTAGTACGACTGCACGAAACCTTAGTGTACCAAACGGTTACACTTCGGAGCAAAGTTCCGGCGGCTGTGAGGAAACACAGGCTGCGCCGAAGGTCCACCACTCGAATAAGTCGGGTGGACTGGGACAAAGATGTATCCCTAGCGGGGAACATCTAGAAGAGAAACAATCGATCGCTCAGGTTAAGCGAAACGATAATCCTAGATCGACTGGAGAGTCTTTCGTAGAGGATCTCGCTGTGGTTGCGCAACCCCAGCTAGAGGAAGTAATGGGAATAAGTCCCAAGATTACAAACACGGCGGAAATAAGTTCCCCGAAACCCGCGGGAATAAGTCCCCGGGAAGCCGAAGGAATAAGTCCTTCGAGGCCTGAGGGAATAAGTCCCCAAGAAATGACAGAGACATTGAATGTCCTAGTCAATGATGGATCAAGTGTAGGCGCTTATACACTTGATATGATTGCGCCTCCGAAGTTGACTTCGGAGATCACTCAGTTGCCAACGCTCGAACATAAAAGGTTCTTGCGTGATCTGCGTAGTGGCAAAGTCAAGCAGATCTGCGTACTCGTCGCCGACGACGAGTGTGTAACCAACATAAGGTCAGCAACAGTGTTTACTGAGAACGAGAGAGTTCTCAGTAGTTCATCTATGGACGAGAGTGTCCTCGATGAAAAGACACGAATTGAGCGATATGACTCCCAATCGTGGGAATCGCTCAAGAAAAATCCTCTCTATGAAGATTTGGTTGAATTCAAGGATGTATTCCCTGAAACTGTTCCGTGCGAATTACTGAAGGATAAAGGTACTCGACACGAGGTCGAGATTAAACCAGGCTCGAAGTACTGTGTCATGAAGCAGTGGCCACTGCCTCGTGAACAAGTACTTGCGATCGACAAGTTCTTTGCCGATCGTTTAGCTGCGGGCCATGTGAGGGAATCAACTTCCCCACATAGCTCTCCTACCTTCTGTGTGCGAAAAGCAACAGGAGGGTGGCGGATAGTGCACGCGTTCAGCAAATTGAACGCTGCAACGGTACCGGCTCAGACGCCGATACCGAGGAAGGACATCATCATAGATGGTAAGCAAAGAGCACCATTTTTTCGTCCATGGATTGACGGATGGGTTCTATCATATTCTCATGCGTGAACGGGATATACCCTATACCGCAGTGAGCACGCCTAGCGGCATGCTCTGGGAATGGCTAGTAATGCCACAAGGGCTTAGTAATGCCCCTGCCACGTTCAACAGATGTGATACACATCTGTTGAGACCAGTACGAGAATTCGCGCCGAGTTATTTCGATGACGTATTCATCCATAGTCGAGCTATGGATGGAAAGTCGGACGTTGAGGTTCACAGGTACCACGTCCGACAGGTTCTTACAATCATGCGAAAGCATCAATTGTATGCAAACCTCAAGAAGTGCATATTTGCAGCAAGCGAAATACCACTTCTTGGGTGCATCGTTGGTAAGAACGGTGTACGTCCTGATCCCGAAAAGATCAAGGCGATCACC